TTTGAGATTGTAGAAGCACAACCAACATGATGCCTTGCCGGAACAGGGAAAATCTTAAGGAAGTTTGAGATCTGTACGTGCTTCTTCTTAACTATGGCATGGCACGTCCAGCGTGATGTTAACCCTCAGGTTCGGTTGACTCTGGGGCAAGCTCATCAGTGAAGCACCTCACACACGGCCCACTCCGAGACTCACCGTATCCCACACCACACCCCCGTTCATCCCCGCGGTGAGATTTCGGTAAGCGCTGACATCGATGTCCAAGCTGTTGGTCTGATTACTTCCGCATCGTTCATCGGCCGGCACGTCCGTCTTGCAGTAATTCTGCGCACTCCCGGCCGGACACGCGTCTACTATCTCGACGATAACACTTCCATAAATTCGGTCGTTGGAAGAAGAGCCGTATAAGCCGATATTGTCGACGCGGTAGCAGGTGCCGCACTGTACTGCTACTGGGGGACAGGAAGGCGGGATGTAATTGGAGGATGGATATTGGCCACCGTTTGCTGTGCTGAAAGATGGTTTCAGTCAGATGAGCATCGGAAGGGATTTTTATATTGGGGGAGCGAGAAAGGGCCATGCCAACAGCGGGATGAGAGACGGACCAGACGCTAGTATTGTATTGGAAGGTCATGTTCGGTTGGCTACCGGTGCACAAGCCAGTAGAGGTATCTCTACTAATGTCACCGGCGGCGGCGGCGAAGATGTCAGTATTATCTGTGTTAATTCGATCAGTGACCGATGTCTCAAGATATCAGAATCCTAGGGTTGATAGCAGATGAGGGATAGCTCACCTGCGGTGGTAGATCTGTTCGCATTGGAGCATACTGTATCCCCTTGAGCCGCGTAGTCGTTGAACGTTGCGATCCCTTGCACTCGTATAGGCGCTGGCACTGGCTCTGTCGATGGCTGTTTTGCTGGTAGATAAGCAGGGATAGCCGCTAAAATGCACAGGCTTGACGAGAGCCACACATGTTAGACCACAGATATTCTATCACCGCTGAGGAGAAGGCATCGAACCTGCATATGGCTACAACTACAGCCAACACCTTCCAGCGTTGCTGTTGTACGCTCGCCCATATCTGCGCGAATGCATGTTTTGGAGGAGAGGCTGAGGGTTCTCTATGATTTGATGCCCGTAGGTGCTCAGCTCGGATGTCTTCGGTCAGCCATGGAGACAGGTCCTTGGTTTGATGGTGTAGAGTCTTCCATTGTGTCCATGCGGCGCCGTTCATGGGCTCGACAGCGTCCAGCATCCTCCTCCGAAGAAGAAAATCGGTGTTTTGAAGGCAATGAGCTTAGGGTTTCTTGCAGGGGCGATGTCGTGCCATCTTCATGACGTACAGCAAGCATAAGAAAAGGCATGCGGGAAAAGAACCGATACACAGAGCAGGCAATTGGAGACTGACGGCCAAAAGAGACTAAGAATAGAGAAACACACGGGAGTCGATGAAGTTACTTTGCAGCGCTAGTGATGCGGCTGCAAAATGACAGGCGCGCAAGAGCACACAATTGAAACGTGAGAAATCCCAGAAGTATATCCGATAGATTGAAACATGCCGCGGCCTTTTTTGCCGCTGTTCTTTGATAGTCTTTCGAGGTCACCCAGGTACTCAGTACTCACTACTGCGTTCGGCCAAAGAAGGAGTATTCAGATGTCGACAGGTTGAAGGCTTCTCATCGTCCAGACCAGGACTTTGCGCAGGGTCTAAGAAGCAGTCGTCATCGCCTATCATTCCGGACAGCATGTGCTATCGTAAAGATCGTGGTCACCTACTCGTGGATTCCAGAAGTGAGTCCTTTGATAGAGCGAGGACACCAATAGATATTTCCACTTAGCGGCATGTCGCTTGATCTATTGGTGTCCTCGCTCTATTAAGTAACTCACTTCTGGAATCCACGAGTACTCCGTGGTGAGCAAGCGATATTCAAGCTGGCAGACATCAAGAACCAGACTCGAGGTCGCAGGTTGGGGTGCAAAACAGCATGTTTTGGGGGCTAACGCTAGGCGGAAGCCCCCGTAACCAGCGTGGAGCCAGCGTTCAGGTTCAGGTTCAGGACTGCCCACCACACCACGGAGACTGATTTTAGAACTTTGCCTGCTTCACCAGCATCAGACTTTTACTCTGGTCTCGGCGATGGCTTGATTTGCTGTCATCAAAGACCCTTCATCAGAGCTGAGAAAATTCCAACCATTTTCCTATGCATCTTCAGCTTCAGCTTTTCCTGTGAGCTGAACAACAAGCCATTGGCAGCAGACCAGGCGCTGGCCGGTTGAGCGAACAGCTGCTTGTAGCTGCACTTCCTTCGATTATTATATTGCCTATTCTCTCAATTCCAATGAATTGATCGCCGGACGAAAGTAGGGCGATTCAATGTTTCTTGATTGGCTCGTCGTGATTCCTTTTACCGCATCATACTGAGTCATTCATAAATACCCGATTGAGTCACAAGCAAAGGACGAAGGAGCCACTCATCCAAATACAAGAGCGAAAGGAATCGCAGGTCTCAGCGCTTTCACTTCTCAGCCTTCGCTACTGTCTATGTCCTTAACCTTGAATCTGTCTCCTTCAACGCCCCGATATCTTGGCTCGAACCCCTAATTTTCAGGAAACACTGCGGTCTTTTCATCAAAATGTCCGGCCAGGGGTATCCGACATCATCTACCCCAATACACCTTGACGGTACTACTCTCGAAGGTGGAGGCCAATTGCTGCGCCTTGCGCTCTCGCTCTCTTCACTGACGCAAATACCAATTTATGTCACCGACATCAGAGGTAAACGGCCAGGGAAAGTTTCCGGCCTGAAAGCATCTCATCTTGCCGGAGTCAAATGGCTAAGTAATGCTACCGCCGCGACGACTGAAGGCATGGAGGTAAAAAGTAGGCAACTAGTGTTTAGACCCTCTAGCATCAGAGCAGAGACTACAGTCAACAAGGGTCAAAATGAACACGTCACCAGAACGGAAGGCGAAAAGGAAGGCGTATGGGAAGACATCTTCGATAATGGTCAATTGGTCCGGCGCCAGTCTCACATCCCAATGTCCTCGCCCGGCTCCATTCTCTTAGTCTTGCAAGCAATACTCCCGTATCTACTCATGTCAAATTGCAACAATGTGGAAGGCCAGAAGACGGTCGTACCGCTTCGTGTTACCATCGAAGGCGGTACGAATGTGAGCAGTTCTCCATCCATCGAATATTTTTCGCAGGTTCTTCTGCCAATGCTTTCTCAAAAGTTGAGCATTCCTCCGATCACAACTTCGCTACATAAAAGAGGCTGGAGTACTGGAAGAAGTGAGATCGGTAGTGTGACGTTCGATATCGAACCTTTGCCTCAGGCATTCGTACTCCCAACATTCTCTTTCCAGGATAGAGGCGAATTGGCCAAAGTTCACGTCTCGGTTCTTGCGCCAGAAGCTACAGCTAGGAACAGAATCAGAGACAAAGTGACCGCGCAATTGCTCGCGTACAGCCCTGAAATCGAGATTTTGTTTCCCGTAGACGAGAATTCCGGAAGTGAGAAGCGTTTGTATCTTCTTCTTGTTGCAGAAACTTCGAATGGTTACAGACTTGGACGCGACTGGCTGTTTGACGAAAAGGCACGAGGCTTGAGCATGGAGCAATTGTGCGAGAGGCTAGTGTCAAAGGTCGTGAAAGACCTCAAGAAGGAATTGAAGCATGGCGGGTGTGTGGACGAGTATATGCAGGATCAGACAGTGGTGTTCCAGGCTCTTGCTGCAGGGAAAGCAGAAGTCGATTGTGGGATTGAAAGAGAAGCAACCTTGCATACGAAGACCGCCAGGTGGGTTACTGAGCAGATGATAGGCGCGGGCTTCGATGAGTTGGGAAGGTGTCAAGGATTGGGATATGCTGTGGGGGAGGACTTTCAGAAAAGAAGTGGGATGCCATTACAGACATGATGGAGTTAAGTATTTGATACATCTTGATGATGCATTACCGCGTCCTAGATTTCTTCGCATAACCTTCGCTCGCTCATCGTAAGATGAGCTATATAAAGCTCCGTCTACGATGCCCTCTTTCTTATGATCTGGTGGGTCCAATTTTTCCTGCCGTTAAGGTCAGCTTCATCGATGTGTTTCTTGCTGCGTGGATACCGACGCTTATTCCTCAAGAAAGAAGCTCATGAAAAGGCCGCCATATCTGCTCGAGGGCTCTGGTCTCCGATTGTGACCAAGAGGCTGCCATCACTCCCTAGAAATGGATTAGCTCAGACCATTTTCTCAGGACGAGTCATCTGGCCACTCTCACCAAGATGATTCAAGACTCCCACCAAGCCTCGCCTAACGCACATCGCATCAATTGCCGTGGCCGCAAGATAGATTATGTACCATGCCGCTGAAATGGGCCGGCCGATGGTGTTTGCCGTGATAATGCATCGTCCAAACGCTATATGCGTTCAGATTGTCAACAGATCCTCGAGGGCAATGAGCGAAAGCTTCTTACGTTCAGCGAAAGCTTGTGGAAGCTCTACATCTACGTGCTCAGTCCCTCCGTTGCGTGGGCCAAAGATTTCCTGATTATAGCTGAGTATTTCGAAGTCAGCGTTCAATTCTTGGCGTGTATCGAGGAAACCTAGGCCAAACAGAAATATTACTCCCGCAGCACGTTTTCGAAATCTTATTCACATTATAACAAGGAATAGTCGGTCCAAAATCACACGTACGATGCAGGCATCCTATCCAGCACCGGGCGACAGGATCCTGGGGGTGGCCCTGTCCCCGCGCACTGGACATTTGAAGGGTTATACGGAACCATTCGTATGGCGAGTCCTCCGCTTTCACCTGGGAGGGCAAGACCGAGTCAGCTGCGCCCAGAATCAAGACTGTGTTTCTCCAAACGCGAAGGCCGATCCTCTCCTATCGAATGTTTCAACGATCTTGCTCACCTATGTCTACCGCGACACCGCCCTGTTGCATATAACCTTTTACACATATACCAAGAATAAGCGATGCAGCTCGAGAGAGCTCGTCGCCCGTTGATATGTCAGAGATCACATCACTTTTACGTGTGATATCAACGGCGCAGAGACCGTCATCTGGGTCCCACCTCAGCAAACGTGCGCAAGATCAATCGCAGACCACGGAGTATGATCATACTCACGGCTAAGAACCCTGAACGGAAGAGGAATATCAAAGTTTCCCTCTGTCCGCAGTCCAAACGTTCGACGGGTAGTACTTGTGGGTAATAGCTCCCAGGCCTCTTGGCAACTGGCAATGTTCAGACCTTGACCGTAAGTCGATGCATCACATTTAATCCTTGGTGCTGTGAGATGGAGGTTGGTCAAGGTTGATACATTCTTAGCTGGTGTTAGAGATATGTTGACCGGCGCACTAGGAGCGTACGGGGCTGGCCAAGAAGAATCCAATGACGAGGTTCTCTTGAAAGTCGTGATGTCGCTCGTGGGAACGGATAGATCCAGCGGAATACCATCGTTAGTGCCTTGCTCAGGGGACGGCACTACGCTCGACGAAGCTATGCAGACCAACAAGATGAACAAATTGTGGGGGACGAGCCACAGAGCCATCGAGGTGACGGCGCTCGCGTCTAAAAGGACAAGGTGTAGCGGCGGATTTCTCTTCTTTATAGCAGGAGACAGCATTAAGGCTGGCGCTGAGGGATAAGCTATGGGTGGAGAAGCCAATGCATTCTACCACGCGCTTAGGCGACTTCCTCAAGCGCAATGAGTGCATTGCATGGCAAACCCAACAATAAGCGTAGGAACGATCAATGAAGCGCTTGAGACAAGATCAAGAACAACATACTCGAGGGAATCACACTTGCCTTGCTAAAAGCACGGACAGTCGAACAATCGTCATACCCCGTAGTATCTACGAACACTAAGCTGTAGAACTTCAGAAGAGCAGAGCGGACGATAACTAGACTACTCAATCTATCAGTGGTCTAACACGCACGGTCAGCAGTTGCACGAAAGTCCCTGAGATGCACGTTTATACCTGAACGACAATGTCCCCGGCATCTCAACGTAGGACCCGACCAGACGAGGAAGAGAAGCCCATGCAATCCACAACCCACAACCGCAACACCAAAGCGGTGCCACCCCTCTGCACCGCATCCCCTCCCACTCCCCAGCCTAGCTCTCCCTCTTCCTCAACTCCCCATCCGCGCCCTCCACCAAATCCGCCTCCGCCTTCCCGATCCCTCCGATCCCCGTCTCTCCCACCGCTTTCCCCCCCCCGTAGAGCTGCCCACCCTTCTCGCCCTCGATTTCCTTGCTGACGGCGATGGGCTGGTTGCCTCTGAACCGCTTCCGCATGTCGATCATGCCTCGTTTGCACTCGCCGTAGCCCTTTTTGAGCTGCCGACAGCGGGTCGGGAGGCCGTCGACGAGCGGGGGGCGGAGGCAGTCGGCGGGGGTGTTGCGGTAGATCATGACGCAGTCGGAGTTTTGCAGGCAGGTTGCTAGGGCCGCGCCTAGAGGGGAGAGAGTCAGTGGTAGGTTTGAGGGGAAGAGATGGCGGGGAGGGAGAGTGGGGGGAGAGGTTTACGGATGTCTTTGCACGAGGAGGGCATGGTGGTGGGCCGAGGTGAGTTGTTGTAGTTGGTGGTGAAGTTTAGTTCGACATGGAGGGTCCAGGTAATCTGCTGCTCATAGTATCACGAGTGGAGAGCAAGATAACGAATAGTTTTGACGTTCAGATTTGAGTGGTTGAATCTGGATTCTGGAGGTTGGGCAGATTTTTCTCCGAAAAGTACGCTAATGATGTTCTGCGTACGTCTTGATGAATTGAATTTTCATAGTCCTACAGTACATAAAGAACCATCTCTATTGCATCTTCTTTCCCTTGCTCTGCTCGTAGGCAGGCTCGCTCCACAGCCAGATTCCCACAAAAGCCACCCACCCGGCAACTGTAATCCATACACCTGCAATCCAGACCCAACCAGCACTGATCTCCCAGCTGCGTGGCCACTCGTCGTGAGCGAAGTGTCTGACCGTTACTTCCCGCTTTATGTCCACGTTGGTAAGAAATGGTCGCTTATAATTGACGCGGAATGAAAAGATGCCATGCTGGTCTGGAAGCTTGAAGGTACTGCTAAAGATAGTGCTGTTAGGTGTTTGAGAAATGGGTATAAGATCGAGACGATGATAGGGCGAAAGCATGGTAAATTCAAGCTGCAAAGCGTCTGAGGCATCAACCTTGAGAGGACTGAGATGATCGTAAGTGTATTCAGAGACCTCGATATTGAATGTCTTCGGGGACTATTAGCACCTTTGGTAGCAGCTTGGAGCAAGACTTCACTTACTACGTCGTTTTTGACGCGGTAGATTGTGGGATTGAGATATCCCAACTGGGCTACACTGTCGTTGCCAGCTGCATCTCCTGTAATTGTGCTTAGGTGGTGTTCAACTCTGCCGACCTTCAATACTCCCAGTTCCATGAAAGTCCATGCAGTGATCTGCTTCGCAAATTCTCGATTTGCTGTCTTGCTGTCTTTTCCATCTACGCTCTTGACTTTGCTGTCGAACCATTTGTTCTCGAGCGCTTCAGCAGACCCAAAGACCGTGAATCTGGCTGAGTTCCTGGCCTGCATACTTGAAACCAGTGAAATCTGTTCTCCTACAGCGAACGGATCCTCCACAACCTCAGCTTCGTCCTTGGGGTTGTAGCTGTAGGCGGTGCTCTTCGCTCGTAGAATCGGCGCCAAAAGCGGGCTCGAGTTTCCTAGTTCTTGGGCTACCGCTCTAGGGAATGCAATTGTGCCGTCTCCACCAAAATAATTTTTGACATCTGATCGTATGCGGGAGCCTTGTGGCAGAAGAAGAACATCATGCTTCTCAGATGCCGAAGCTGCGTCGTAATTGAAGTGATCAACCACAAGAGAGTCGCGATCTGGAGGCAGATGAATGTCTAATTCAAGAAGGAGGGAGGAGATGGAGGTTGGCGTGGGAGAGTCGGCGGAGAGGGTGAGGAGTATGTTGCCATTTTGGTTGATGAATTGTAGTAGAAGTTTGGGTGTTAACGCAGGGCCCAGCCCTGGACTTGGTAAGCCAGAGTCGTCAACATTTGCATAGGATGATGTACCTTTCGACTTTGGGGGGAGTAGAAGGATGTGGTCGAAAGCTCGCTCCCCATGCTGGAACAAGGCAAGCTTGTCATTCTTTGGTGACTCAAAGGTGAGCTTGTAGCCTCGATCTGGTGAATCCAGTCAGCATGCGCAAATGGAAGATTGAAGGGAGTAGGATGAATTGTCCAACATGCCTTGGAGGTCGTCCCAGAACGTTGAGTATTTCGCCGTTTCAGATGATTCTTCGACGACAACCAGCAATCGGCTCCCAGTACTGCTTAGACCTTGTACTAGACCCAGCAGGGTTATGAATAATAAGTTAAGGAGCCACCGCATGTTGATATTGGTTGCTGTGGTTGTCCATACGGTGGAATCTCAAGCTTTCTAGAGACGTGTCGCCAAGCCATGAGATGAGAAACGTACCCCGGCCATCCCCCATCCAGCGTAGGGTACGATTGGAGGATACTAAGGTAACGCTAATACGTTCCCCGGCCGGACTGGATTACTAAGCTTAGTTGACCAATCAATTACCTCAGATTTACCAACCAAGCGTACATACGTGACCAGAAATCTCAATACGAAGCTCTAGATCCACAGATTACTGAAATTCCACTTCGAATGAAGACTTCATAAGAATTCGGGATTTCCCATAAGAAGAGAAGTAGAGCGCGGAAGCTAACGCATCATTCATAGATGATTCGAGAGTTGCAAGTGCGTGGCTGTTCAAGAGGCTGACAGCGGCCAGATTGAGAGGTATAAGATTGAGGGAAGAGGTAGCAACACTGAACGCTTCTGGAGGTCTTCCTGTGATAACCTGATGCGGGAACCTAACATGCACGGTTGCTCACCTAGAAGAGCCTTTCGCTGACCGCAATGCAACGCCCGGGTACGACTCGATGCGCTGGGCTGTGTAGACGAGTTAGGGAAGCATTGCGAGAATACAATAAACCGCGACGGTCGAGGCCATCAGTGTGATAGTAATTTCCCGGCTTCTCCGAATGTCGGATTTGATGACCTGGCTGACGTTAGTACCATTCGTCCGAGTATGAAGCTCGCTTATGCTTGTGAAAGTGAGAAAAAAACGGGACATGCGCCAAAGCGAATGGATGTTGTAAAGGATAGACACTCAATGTAACCCATTGGGGAAGTTCACTAATGGATGAATGGTAGTTCTTTGGGGCTGTGCATTGGCAGACTTCAGGAAACCACTTACAACGCTGCTGGTGCACCGTAGTTACAGAGGGACACAACTTCCTACCAAGAATGTATTATTTACACGGCACACCTCTTGTCAATGCACAAGCCCAGAAAGACCCCACGACCATCAAGATTCTGATCCTGTTGTTTTCACACGTGGTGGACGATTGTGGGTGACTTTCAAGCAATGAACCTGGTCTTGCTAACTGCTTCCGACGAGAAGATCAGCGATGTAATTCTTCATCACGAGTTTGGCATGTCTAAGCCGTCGATTTCACTCCATCCGGGGCAGGTGAAGCTTACTCAGTGCCGTGCTCGTGCATGGTCGGCGGTTTGACTCGCCTCGTCCGGGCGTAAAGCCTTGTATCTTGCATCTTGCATATGCAGCACAACAGTCACCACTTGCTTCTTCAAGTGGCCCATCTCGGCAGTTGCGCTGCTATCCGGTGCGGTGAGCAATCGATCGAAGGCGTAGCGAGGTTCTCCGATGCGACCCATGGAGCCTGAAAACATTCGACGCCTGGGCTCAATGCACGAACGGACCCATTCCGAGAGCAAAGAGGCGATGGTCAGCTTGGCTTAATCAATATTCCCAGGAGGTGACACATCGAGTCGGAGATGGGACGCTCGTCAAGGCAGTATCGATCGCTAGCCGGCCTGAAAGCCGGATATATAAGACAGAGGTCGAAGTCTCTTTTCTGGGACGAAGATCACATCCCACAGCCTCGAACTTATTCAAATTCCAAATATCTCAAAAACACGGCCGGCATGCTTTGCAAGAACGTAAGAGCACGGACAAGCGCAACGTACCCAGGGCAATGCTAAATTGATCATAGACCCTCATTGCCGTTTTGGGGGCCGCAGTTGTCACTGCTAGCCCATAACCCCCTGATGCTACCTCTGCGGTTCCAGCACCGACTGGAACGCTGTTCTTCGCCAACAAAGGCGGCAACTTCCAGCCCAGCCAAACAATCAAAGGTGTCCATGTTGATGCAACTGGCGGGCAGGTCACCAACAGCAAGCTCGCAGTTACTTCCATTGTCAACGATGATGGCGTTGAGCCTGGCAAGGACGCCTATAACTTTTATAGCGGAGATGGTACCACTAGCGCTGGCTGGCCCGCCAAAAGCGCATGGATCTCTTTTGAAGACATGTAGGAATCATTTGTGCTGTTCTTGCGTCAAGCTGATAAAGAGAAAGGTTCAACAACAACGAGGTCGAGATGTTCAGTTCTTGCGACCAATTTTCGGAGTGAGTCCCTCGTAATTAGTACTGCGGTTTGCGTGGCAAGACAGGACTCGGAGTTCAAACAACATTTTCCACCGAATGTTATTTTCATTAAACATCTCGCAAATTATGTTGCCGTATTAAAGAGACATGCTGACTTCGAAATTGGCATCAGGTCCGATGACTCCGGACCCGAAGTCGGCGCGATCTACAACGCGCTCCAGCAAGTTGCGATGGAGACAGAGGTGGACCATCGCTTCATCCTTGCTGTAGTGATGCAAGAGTCTGGAGGCTGTGTTCGTGCCCCGACGACCAATTACGGTGTCCGCAACCCGGGTCTCATGCAAGATCACGACGGCGCTGCCACTTGCAACGACAACGGTGATGTTCAGAATCCATGCCCCACCAGCACCATCACCCAGATGATCCGAGATGGTTCTGCTGGCACAGCCAGTGGCGATGGTCTTGCGCAGTGTATCAACGAGTCTGGTGCCAGCGACGTTTCGGCCTTTTATAAGGCAGCCAGGATCTACAATGCTGGCTCATTGGCCTCAGATGGAGATCTTGGGGCACCCGGCGCGACCCGTTGCTACTCCTCTGAAATTGCCAACCGCCTGACCGGTTGGGTACAGGCCGCTCATGGCTGCACTCTCGATGGATAGGATATGTATTTCGAGGGATACAGCCAACCACGTTGACGGACAATTGTCGTGGCGAGATTTTCTATTGCGCGTTCATGTTATTTGAGGATCCCGCACTGAATTGATTGAGATATGATCTACTGCTCGGTAAAGCGAACGGTATCCTGCGAGCTATAAAAAACTCATACTGCGTCCTTTATTGAATGTCTGGACTGTCACTCTCATGATTGAATCCTTCACTGTTAGCACCAGCCGGCAGTTCTTCAACTGCCGTAGCCTTCTTCTTCCTCGCTACCTCCTCATCAAGAAAGTCCACCAAACTAGCCTGCTTCCTCTTGAAGGACTCCTCCTGCATCTTCATCATACCATCCAATGGCCCATTTCACACCTGCCACGACTTGGCGGCAGCAACAAAGACTTCTGCAAATAGCTCTTCAAAAGTCTTATGGGGACCAACTCCGCCCGCCTTACTGCCCGCCGCCTTCTGACTTTCTTCGACGTCACGTAGAGGACATGCCGTGACTACCTCTCTGATACGAGATTGGGCGTAGAGATCCCATGGGACGACAGGATCACAGTGACCGTACTGTGGACCTGTAATGTCGATAGCGTAGGTTTTGTCATCTTTCAACATGACCTTAACGATATGATTGAACATAAGGCAACCATCGATAAGGGTCTTGGGAGGATATCCCGACTTCGGAGGGATGGGAAGACACGCGCTCGGAATCGGCCACTCTTCATACACGAGATGATGGCCAAGGCAGGTGTAGTATCATATCACTTCTCTACGGTCACCCGATATGGCTTCATATCCAACGAACGTTTTAGGACAATAAGCCAGATTCTGGCGCTGTATGCAGAGAACGGTATGCTGATCCTGCTTGGAAGGCTAGTTACCAGAGAGCAAGATTTCCCAATCAGTGGAGATGCAGAGTATCCTGCCTTGTCATCCCACTTACTGTTCAGCCATCTACGGCCTCGGAAACTGCCAGATCCCCAACGGCACGGGGCAAACAAAGTGCTGCCAATGCTGCAATTCCCCCGACCAATCAAGCATCTGCTAGATGAGTCTGCCTGCGCGTTCTGGAGACCCTATTGCGCAAAGAGTGGCTGGGAACGAATGAAGCTACTCTGAGCGACGTAATTTGCGATAAACTTCTATCGGAAAGTGGTGTCCATCATCTCGAATGCTGGGAGACATTACAGGATATGTACACACGTGTACAAAAGCAAGATCAGCCCCAAGAGCCATCCAGATTTGTAAAGGTGGTACGCAATCATACAGCAAGCCAAGGCTAGAAGCTTGGTGAAAGGTCCAATAAATGGTCTGTATGAACTTGAGCGTGGCGGCCTCGACTGGGCTGGAATTGTAAACATCGCCAAAAACGCAGCGGAAGCGCATGGTCAACGTATCCCTACAAAAGGAAGTGTCAGCAGATTTTCGTACGGAGCAATCAGCGCAATAAGATGATGTTGTATCAGTCCAATTGGGACCAACTTGCAAGTAAGAACTTCCATCCTTCCTCTTTGTTCACAGTCATAAGTCTAATCGAGCTTCAGCTTCGATACCACCAACACTGGTACGCCAACGTTCTGGAGTAAGGCACCCGCTTAAGATTTACAAAAAAAACCATGGCCATCGTTCACGCAAACATACACGCCTATCTTTCAAAGGGAGGGCATGCAATAGCCGAGACAAAGAACAATCATAGGATCATTAAGACGAAGCCAAGGCTCTTAAGACCGCCAAAAGTCATAGACGAGTTGGTAGACAGGCTTATGGTCCAAATCAAGAAAGACGTCGCCTTAGAAAAATCGCTCGTCGTTCCTCCTGAGTGCTGGAGTCGTGATTCGATGACACGACCCTTCAAGATCACAGCAGTATCAGTCCTGGAACGAGTTGCTCGCGGTATTCCTGAGGCTGAATGGGCCCAGTGGCAATTTCTGGAAAGGCTCAAGAAAGACTGGGTTTACGGTGCCGCTGTTTCGCCGGATACGGAACTTTCACCGCAGCAAACCATCCCTCATCAACAAATGCGTCTTCATCGGAGCTTTCGAATCATCGGGTAGAGATCCAGGACTTTCATTGGGAGAATATTCAAGCAGCAATCGATCAATTGCAAAAGTTGGAGGCGACCTTAGACGGTGCCGATCCCCAAGAGCTGTTGCGCTTGAAGAAGAACCTGACCGCGAGTGACACCATGCCTTTCCGGCTATTAGATTGGGACGGAAACAAATTGTCGGGCAGCGTATTTCGGAAGACCTTTGGTTTACACACGTCCCCATCTAGCGAGGACGACCTGCAGCGAAAGCAAGGCGAGCGACGCCGGCAAGAAAACCAGCAGCTAGAAACCCCATTAAAGCGGAAATCAACAGACGAGCCACAGCAGCAGAACAGACAGAAGCGGTCAAAGACGACGCCCGTGAAGTCTTCAGAAAGTAGCCTCGAATGTCACCGATGTGGCCTCGGATTTTCCTCACTGGCTCTTCTGACGGATCATCTACGAAGCTGCCGAACCAAGTGTGAGCGATGCAATAACCTTGGCATCGCCTGCATCGAATTGGCAAACCATCAAGGGGCAATTCGGAAATGCACCCATTGTAAAGAGGCAAACCCCGATTGCAGTGGTCCCATAACGCCTGTTGACGAGCAGAAGGATACTCCGCAGTTCAGTGTTCTCTGCCCCCGATGCGGAAGTGAAGTACATCGAAAATATATTTGTGGTCATTCAAGGGAATGCCCAGGAAAATGCAAAAGTTGCGTGGGGCAAGGTATTCCTTTGCCTTGGATACATCCGCTCGGGTTGTCTGCGTGGATTGCAGGGCTGCGAAAGTGAAGTGCACGTGGCCTGCTGATCAAGAGGAGAAGCTCATTCCGTGTCCACGGTGCGACAGGTCTATAGTTCGTGCTTACTTCTTGTCACATTGTGACAAATGTCTCGGAAAGTGCCAGGCATGTCAGGCACACGGCAGAGCATGCAACGCAAACCTCAAGGATGCTGATTGTTCGAACTGCAAAGCGGATGGATTGTTTTGTTCGGGCATCTTCCCGACCGATGAGTAACGTTGCTCCCGTTGTTCTTGGGTTGTTGGGGGCGATCTGGCCCGTCACGGGAGATTCTGCGAGGGAAAATGTAAGCTTTTGTGATGAAGAGGGCATGCCTTGTGAGACTTTTGAGGCCGGCGAGTGTGATTGGCCAAGGTAAGAGATGCACTGGTCGCAACACCCATTCAGAACTGGTGGATCCTTCAAGAAGGGCCAGACCCTGCCCACATTGTGGCCAGTCTCACAGCTCCGCCGCAAACCTTTTGGATCACCTCAAGAGATGCAAAGGAAGGTTATGATTGGGAGCAACAAGAGTCTTCCTACGAACAATCCAGATCTTTGCTTCATGCATCGTCTTCCAACTCACCGAGGAGGCTCTTTCATGGTCGCTAGTCGATATATCCTATAATGTTCGTTATCCGGATATCATAGTCTTCCAGTAGAGGCTGAGTATCGGTGAAGACATTGTGGGCCAGTGGTTCTTTCACGTGCAGGAGCGAGACATTTTCTATGTAGTAAACTTATGCATTAGACTATTGACAATAAAACTATGTGCGCAAAGCCACCAAGCACGACCATAAGCCGAACGTGCACTGGGACCTTGGAAGAAACCGGATACCATGCCCATTCATCCCTGCTTTGCGCTGTCAACATCGAATTGGCAGAAGCAGCTCTAGAGTGGTACAAGAAACAACACAGGCAGAAGAACAGAACTTTCAGCCACAGAGCTCGAGGAGTCAGATTGACAGACACTAGTATAGAAACAGGATATCTGCAGCACTTCTGTTGAGATATACCAGTAGCAGGACGACCGTGCACTCCAGCCCAGCGATCACCATGGGTGTTTTACCATAAGAAAGAGACGGCATAATAGTGGTGTATCGACGGTTGTAGATGCGGCAGACATGGGTGAGGATTGCATGTTGCATATTGCTGCCCGGAGTCAGAGTTCGTGCCAGTCTCCTAAGTGTTCTATGACTAGTCCCTGAAATGGGGGCGATGGCCCTGCTATATCCATCCATTATCTGTGAGTATTTTCTCTTCGAATATTCAACCCCGGCAAGTCATGAGTAGACAGAATCTTCAATCCTCCACTTCAAAGTCATCTTGGTTATGCATTGAAATGTCCATCGTTCGCTTCGGCTTCTCGTGTTCTTCTAATGTTCGTTTCCGCTTCCCGTTCGGCAGGGGTGAATGATTGCCATTGACAACAGGCATGTTACCAGCATGTAAAGGCCCCGAAGCAACGACACTACCATCATCCTTCACCTCTGCTCCATTTGTAGCCATCTTTATCTCTTCAGGGTCGGCTGAGCCATTAGCGACTGCGCCACGGGCGTTTTCTATCATCTTGATCTTCTTGGTCTCACCTCTTACGCGCTCGAGATGAGCAAAGTAGCCGTCTGGGACAGGCGTTACATACTGGCCGTTGAAAACGCCGACCTCGAAGTCCTGGGTCTCCCTGGCGGTGTGATCGGAAGGTGCAGCTTGACGGCATGCATCGATAAGATCATCGAGCTCTTGGAAAATGACTTTCTCTGCTCCGATATGTGTAGCAATTTCATCCACGGTCCTCTTGTGCGCTATCAGTTCAGAAGGCGACGACAGATCTATGCCGTATATGTGAGGGTGGCGGATACGGGGTGCAGCAGAGGCGAAAAAGACCTTCTTTGCTCCAGCCTCCTTTGCCATAAGTACAATCTCTCGCGACGTAGTACCCCTCACAATGCTGTCGTCGACTAGTAGCACATTCTTCCCCACAAACTGCTGCTCCATGGCGTTCATCTTCCTCCTGACACCCTTTTGCCTTGCTTTCTGGCCACCCATGATAAATGTTCGAAAAACGTAGCGATTCTTGACGAAGCCTTGGCGATACGGTTTGTTGAGACGTGCGGCCACACAAGGTGCTGTGGTGTTACTTGTGTCCGGGATAGGCATGACTACATCAATCTCTTCCAGCTGTGACGGAGACAAGACCTTCGCGATTCGATGGGCGAGCTTATATCCCATGTTTTCTCGACTCTGATGGACGCTCATAGCATCAATAACGCTGTCAGGCCTAGCAAAATAGCAGAATTCAACTGAGCAGGTTAGAGCAAGCTCTTCCAAACAATCCAAAGATGCTAAAAAGACGAGGAATGTTTTGGGAGAGTAAGCTCACAGATGTCCGGGCAATATCTTTTCTGAGTTTGAACGGAGGCAAAGACTGGCTCTGCTCCTTTCTGTATTATGACGGCTTGGCCTGGCTTTATGTCCTGAATGTTCGATTTGAGGTATCCCAGTTGTTGAAGCGCTACGGACTCTGAAGAAAGCATGTAATCTCTCCCTTGTCCCGAGGAAGCCAGTCTCGAGCCAAGCACTACATGTCACCGAGTCAGCAATTATATGTGATATCGATTGGCAGAAGTGATAGTGTTCAGACCAGGTCCTACGTACCAAGAGGTCTGATGCCATAACTGTCGCGAAAGCCAATAATACCGAAGCCTAGCTCTTGTTAGTCGCGCTCATTGTCCCGATGAACGACAGACCAGCAAGCATGGCAGTGCATGCAAACCCTCCTTCCAAACGTTCTGGTTGTGTGTCAGCGTGATTCCTCAATAGGTGTGAGTTGCTTCGCAGCCATAACATTCAAGACAAGTGAGTCTCAAGAAAGCCTGAAAGAGGAAGACGTACCATACATGCGCCCACTGCAATAATTGGCTTCGTCAGCTTCGCTCCTGCAAATAAGGGTGCAGAGATATTTCTCGGAGGCTCAAAGGCTAGGGTCCATGCGTGCTCCTCAAATGAGGAGAGAACGTTGTAGGATGGGGATTTCCGGAGGAAAGACGTACAGTGCGGCGAATATATCATCACTAGCAGACAGAAGTCAGTATTACTCTATTATAGCGTTTCCAACTTAAAGATGTTTTTACTCTCCATCCTAAAAATCTTTATATGGTGTTTGCTCTGGACATTGTGTTCCCCAGAGGCACGGAAACAGATAAATTTTTCGGGCAGGCTTACCAATTGATCCTCGCCTTACCAGTGGTATTTAATTCTGACGCGAATACATTGAGCAGTAATTCCCTACGTGCATTCGCTCGTCAGCATTGCCCTTCTGAGAAAGGAGAGGGAGCCGCAAGCCAGATCTCGGTAGCAGGGACTCTCCAGACATGTCTCGCGAGTCACCATAGGACCTCCAAAGGCAAGTAGAAAGTCGGAAAAGACGTACGAGTCAGACTCGGTATTAATCTTTACCAAAATCGAAGTTTAGCATCTTTTTCTCTGCTAGGATCGGTTCCCCTTATGCGAAGAGTACGGAAATGTCAAGAATCTTTCGGATATGACTCACATGCCGATGTGCTTCTCGGTCGAGGAAGTCTCTCAACTCAGGTGCGTTGATGAGGTTGCCATTATGAGCGGCGCTAATGCCATACTTGTTCGCTCATCAGCATAGCCTCTTCGATCGAGAAAGGAAAGCGAGTCACAAGCCAGGTGTTGGAAGCAGAGACTCCCAAGGCATATCCCAACTGATCTCAGAAAGCAAGTAGAATCTCGGAAAAGACTTACAGGAGAGTTCACAAAGAAAGGTTGTGCTTCAGCGTTGGCTGACGTGCCTGCAGTGGGGTAGCGAAGGTGTCCGAGGCCTGCGTTATCTTCAGCTTTCAACTTTACGTGGCCGAAGGCGCACTCACCCATGTACCCCGGGAGATCTTGTACTCGTGCTCCATCGCGAAATCTACACATTTATTCCGCTCATCAGCATAGCGGCTTTCAGAAGAGAAACCAAGTCATAAGCCAGATTCCGGGAGTCAAGGCTGCCAGAACATGTCTCACGACTCCCAATATAACCATAGAAGGGAAGTAGAGACTCGAAAAAGACGTACACTTTCGAGGCTAGGCCGTTTCCTGTACGATAATTTCTCTCGTCAGCACTGCTCTTTCGAGCAAGCAAGGGGCTTATGGTTCAGTCTCAGGGGCAAAGGCGTCAAAGAGATGTCTAACAGCTTCCAATAGAGGCCCCGAAAGAAGAAGTCTTTCAAGGAAGATGTACCTTTGCACTGAAAGATCCTTCCTCCCGTAGCACAAGTAGAAATGCCTGTCATGTCTCTTATTATTCGTTCGTTCAATATTGGAAGTATGTGGTACCACAAGCGTCTTGGCCCCGATGCTGCAAATAGTACAGAGCCTCGCTGCTAGGTATGAGTGCTGCCGAGGTCTTGAGAGGAAATTTGTCGGCTCACTGAAGTTCTGCCGCACAAGCATTTCCTTCTGGCTCCGCATGGAGCATAGCTAGGATGCCACACATCTCTTTCAATGTCGCAGGATTATCAGTGGCATGGGTGTGTGTGCTCCTTACCCGGAAGATCAAAATGCTAATAGCATGAGTAATTGCTCTCTTTCTTCAGTATCAGGTCGTCAAGGGCAGGCTCCGGGAGACTGCAGGAAACGACATTTTTTTGAATTTTTGGCTAACGTCGCGCAAGATTTGACTCCCCCCTCCAGACTCGCCGCAACGGATGCCAAGACCGAAGTTGGACCGAGAGCCGAGGAGAATCTACTGGGACATGCAATGTCCGACGACCGAAAGCCTTAGGGTTAGGGTTACCTTCACGAAACTGTACAAGGTAACTTCGTGGCCGCGTTGGTCTCCCACGGCTTTTGTCCCCAAGCCTCGATCCATTGCGAACAAATTCCCACCTCAGTTGCCCACCCTTTGAGGGCCAGATCAAGCCTTTCAGCGCTCTGACCCGAGCGAAGTATCCCCATCACATCGACAGAGTCTCCTCCTGCAACATGTCCTACCCACAGTTCTTCCAGCAGCCCTTCCGCTACATGCGATGGGCATCACACGAGAGACCAGCGATCTTCTACTCCTTCGTCATTGGAACCGGCGGGCCACTGTCCCTAGTCATTGCGCCGCCAATCCGGAGATACTTTAACGATGGGCCGAGAGAAAAGATACCGATGACATACCCAGGTAAGCTACCCATCAAGGACGGCAAAGACTGCTCGAAGGCGCATAGGCCCACTCACTCATCGGCAAGATGACGGACTTGGCTGATACGATCGTTCTGCAGTACCGTCGGGTCCAAGGAAGATACCAGAGGGCTATGATGACTAGGCATTGCAGTGAAGCAGATGGGGCGTGGACGGACCAAAAATGCGGGCGCCGCAGAACGAGCGGGCAGCTACAAGGTGGTCGGAGCTTTGTATGAAGCAGCCCATAGAAGGATTGGGCGTTCGAAGTCGTCTGATGGTTATTATTGGGTTCCGGCGCACAAGGGAGAACAGTGTCTGACAGAGAGGAGGAGGCACAATTCATACAGTCTTGCATATACTCTACATGAAAATGACAAGGCCTGCGACAATGCTCAAGAGGCCACTATGCTAAAGGAGTAAAATATTGTTTTGAAATACCCGTTGCTGCATTTGTTTTCTATTCGGCCATGTATTACTCGCTAAGTCATCAGTGCTCCGAGGATGTCTTTACTGTCGACACAGCTCATAAATAGACCAATAACGTCTTCCACGAGGTTAGCTGCGCTTCTCTCATTGCCGCAGGATCGAGGGTCGAGCACCAATGTCTTGTCTGCACGTCCAGCTACTACGTCTCTCATAAATGCCATCAGGAACCTCCTCACGCTCATTTGTTGTCCGTTCTTTTCGGCGAGCACTTTAAAGGGCTCAGTTTGGGCTACTTGCGAGCGGTTCCAGACGAGTTCCACGTGCATTTCTGTAAAAGGGAACATCCACACATATCGGTAACCACGGACTAAATGGGAATAACGGTTGGTAAGCCCCAAAGCAATGTCTGCAGAAGACAGGTCCGAAAAGAGCTTGTTGGCAAGGATGATCAGGACAACCTGCAGCTCAATACTCTTGGCTAGAGCCCGTATGCCAGAAGCTTCAGCTTCGCGCAACTCGATCTTGAAAGTGTTGACAAGCTGTGTCACCTCTGGGAGTCGGGAGGCATACCACTGCCTTTCGAGGACTCGTTAATTGTCTGCCATCCTCATATACTTTGATTTGACTTACTGCATTGCTTCATTATTGGGGTATGAGCGTGAGCGCACCGTTTCCAGATCAGATTGTAAAAGAAGTCTGAACTGGCTTGGCCATTTGTATCTCAAAACTAATACGACATCACGGATGGTATTGTTTTTCCTGGCGTGCACCAAATTGACCAGCACATACTGGAGCTGATTATCGCTGAATCCGAATCGACCGATGTGATGTATCGATTCAGATTTGATGAGCGGCGAGAGCGAAAATGGACTGGATGGCTTCGTTGTAAGCCAAGAGGCAGGGTGCCCGAGTTCGAGGTCTTCCCATGCATCGTCTTCCCATGCATCTGGCGATGTAGAATTGCATGGATCCATCGATTGACAAGCATGGTACGAGGCGAAGATCTCCGGACCATTCAACAGTCGAGATTCCGTCTCCCAAGATTGACCGAGAAGTGGTAGAACTGAGAGATGGAAATCCGATAAGGATAAAGCTGTTGACGCTCAAGCGGTAATCCTTGAAAAGAATGCTGTAATGGTTTAGGATGATTGTATGATAGTCCTCGTCCACTCCAGCCGAATCAATGCTTGATACAAGAATACCACGTCCGATTGTTCTTTCTAAGGAAACTGTGGCAGAGGAGACTCTACTTTTGGTAGAGTAGACATAGCTGATGGATTGCACCTTCCTGGGACAGATTCACATATGCCTGGCGTCTTTGCTAAACACTGTAGGCCTTGTAAATATAACATTCTCACCAAGGACTAATGATGGAGCAGAGTCAAAGCTTCGCAAAAGCAACATATAGATTCTTTGATGCCAGAGTGTAGCTATAAATTTCACGCTTGTATATCAGTATTCGATCCCTCATCGTGGCAAGAAACCCTTGCATCGTATCCAAGCTTGAGAAAATCTGAATACACAGCGAAACGAGGGTACCAAAATGAAAGGTTCAAGTGGAGTAGAGAAGCCTCCTTGCGATTTATGTGGGCGGTCGAGCAGGCACAGTCCTGATCTACGTTGTACTTTACAGTGATTACACGAAAGGTTGCCGAGGTTGCCATCAGACTTGGAGTGAGTGGTTTACGAGTAAATAAAATGATCTCCACAGGGTTCAAGGCGGCTGTCACTGGCGAGCCCGGGCCGCCAGATTGGCCGGTGACGTGCATGTGTAGCGCGCATGCTCGGCACTCATGCAAACATCTTGAGCAACATGCAGCAATGGCTAATCATGTACAATAACAACTGAAAGCTCGGCGTTTCTAAGGATTTGGGTCATCGGCAGCAGTCATGGTCAGAATTCCTGTACTCGGGAGGCTCTTCTGGTACGTCCTACTTTACTGTCCCCTCCCAACCCGCCACTGACCAAGTCACGCAGGCGAGAATACATTGCTCTTGCAGGATCTCTTATTCTGATATTCCTAGAGGGCTGGATAAGAGTTATTACACTTGGGCTTCGTAAGGTCCTCAGGCGAGCTCTCTCGTGCAGCTTTCTGACTTCTTTCAGCCCAACCAATCATTCGATTTTGCTACAACAGATCCAAGAATCTCTTCAATGTTTTCTCCTCCGCACAAGGCAGTCAATCAAGATCAAAATCAAAATCAATAATTAGATCGGTCGCGGGCGCTTCAGATTTTGTGGATTTATGTGCTCTATTTGGCTACTACGCAGAAGAGCATGTCGTGCAGACAGGAGATGGATACTTGCTTGGGGTACATCGTCTCTGTTTGAAGAAGCAGGGTGAAGATGGCATGAGGGTCAACGCGGGTCGTGGCAGTTTGCAGAAGAAAGTTGTGTATTTGCATCATGGCCTGCTCATGAACAGCGAGGTATGGGTATCTCTGACCGAGAAGGAGAGATGTTTGCCCTTCATGCTAGTTGAGAGGGGCTATGATGTCTGGGTAAGTTCATATAGCCTACGGTTCATGTAATTCAAGACTGACGTGCCTAGCTGGGGAACAATCGCGGCAATAAATACTCGAAGAAGTCCGTTCGCTTTTCCCCAGCTTCCAGCGAGTTCTGGGACTTTTCAATGGACCAATTTGCCTTCCATGATATCCCAGACAGCATCGATTATATTCTCGCAACCACGTCGCAGTCATCCCTATCTTATGTTGGCTTCTCTCAGGGCACCGCTCAGGCCTTTGCGACGCTGTCCATCCATCCTACCCTCAATGATAAGGTGGACGTCTTCATTGCTTTAGCCCCGGCCATGTCACCTGCCGGTCTACGGAACGGAGTCGTCGATGCTTTGGTCAGAGCTTCTCCCGAGGTCCTTTTCTTAGCTTTCGGACGCCGGAGCATACTCAGCTCTGCAACCATGTGGCAGTCTATCTTGTACCCGCCGATATTTGTTCGCATCATTGACATGTCGCTCTCATTTCTCTTTGATTGGTCAAGCAAGAATATCAGTATCGACCAAAAGCTCGCTGCATACCCCCACTTGTACTCCTTCACAAGCACAAAGAGCGTGGTACATTGGTTCCAAATAATACGAAACAAGAGCTTTCAGATGTTTGATGATGATGTCCAAGCGCCATTGAGCCTTGGAGCGAGTGACAGGTATTACAGAGTGGCGAAATTTCCGACAAGAAACATCAAGACGCCGATCGTGCTGGTTTACGGTGGCAGTGATAGTCTAGTTGATATCAGGGTCATGCTCAAAGAGCTTCCCAGGCACACAGTCGCGAAAGAAATACCCCACTTCGAGCATCTTGACTTCCTATGGGGACAGGAAGTTGAGACATTGGTTTTCCCCCATGTGTTCGAGGCTTTGTTAGAATATGCCGGTCGAGATCATTTGAAGTCTCCAGAGCTTACATACAAGAGTACTGGGAATAGGCATCTTGCAGTCAATGGACCCTCAAGCTACCCAGAGGATGACGGCGACATGAGTGACAGTAATCCGGAGACAAATAAGGGTTCAGCTCGACACTATATGCCCTTGCCGAAAGCATCCCCACGACGCTTCTCTCCTACCACATCTCGAAGTCGGAAATATGCCTCACCGCCTTCTTCGTCCTCAACAGAGCAGACGTCGGCGTCAATGGATGGCGCGAGCGATCGGAGAACTGCGGGACAATCCAAGAGCCGTGGCTCAATACTGGGCAACAGCATCAAGCACACAGGCAAAAGGAGCGGTAGCGTGTCAAGTACGAGAAGTGTCGACAGCACTAAAAGGTTTGGCGAGGGAGGCATAAGTATTGGCGCGAGCAAAGCTACGACTGGATTTAGTACTTAGCCTGCCATCGTAAGTGGTGAGAAGTCATCTGGTCATGTTCCAAAAATTCAGCCAACGATGTTAGTTGGACCGAATGGATGACACTGCGCTGCTGGTTTCAAATAATGGGAGATGCCCGAACTCCTTCCAACAAAGCAACAGTCAAGGGTTGAACCGCAAGCATATATTGTTACCTCTCGTACTACTTATGATCATTTCCATGCGACTCTAGATCCCAGGTCAAGCCTGACGCGACGAATGCCTCACGCTTGAGGAGCTTGCATCTGCAACTTGAATTCGGACTTCGCCATATCAGGGTGTGCGGATCAACTCAGAAGGCTACAGATCCCACGTTGCTCAGTTTTCTCGCTGAAGCACTAGGCACGATTTTTCGCGCCTATCAATCGGATACCGTCAGGCAAAATGAACAGCGCCTTGGACTCTTGATAGTGTCAACCTCAATACTTCAGGAAATAACGCTGGCAGAGTTTTAGTCAGGTCATGGAGAATAATGAAGAGAAAGCATTCTATTTCAGCCGCGAAGTGTTCTTGAGCCATGGAAAGACCCAAGCTACGATACGGAGGCTCTGAAACGTCCGTCAACTCAGGTTCAGCAACACATCGATCATGAGCCTCTCGAGTCTGTGGCTCGAGACATGGGTGTTGGTGGACTTCGCACATACGTTGACGGCTTTCATTTCGAGTGACGGCAAAATACTTGTGGACGCTGGCTGGACGATTCTGAAGGCATTTGTACTTTAAGAGGAAGTTGGATTTGGCGAAGAGTCGGAAGTTGAGGATACTGATAAGATTACCGCCATGATGGTCAAGGAGCTGAAAATTGAAGGCCAGGCCGAAGACCAAGCCAACTTTTCTCGCTGGAGCGTGTTTTGCAACACTGGGTTCCTTTCTGTTTCAAGTCTACGCAATCAGGACTACCTTGTGCCACTTACTGCTGAAGCAAGCAAAGTAGCAATTCCAGTAGTAGCCTGAAGATGGGAGAAGAGTAATGTTGATAAAGTAGGGTTCAGGATCAGGAAGCGTCACCCAAGAGCTGTCTAAGTAGAAATTTAGTTTTAGTTCATCGGACAACCAATTCTCCGACATGCTCTTTACTCTAAAATAAACTTTAATCTTTTACCTCGGCACGCGGGCTCCAGAATTCGTCGTACACCCTAGTCCAAATTAGGCGCTAGGGTGTACGACGAGTTCTGGAACCCGCGTGCTCGGTTCGGTTCCCATAGATTGATTTGCTGATTTGGCTAATTGCTGTGCACACCACCACACCTCGGCACCAAGGGCAAGATAGAGTGGTCATACTCCGTCATGTACATGTACGTCATCCCTGCACCACCAGCACCCGTCGCTTCCATATCCGAAGTGATGGACGATTGGTCAATGGCGCCGTAACTGTCTCACGGTGTAGCCGAGCCTTGCAAGCGACTTCGAGAACCTCATACTTATCTATCGCTTCTCCTCACTTTCCCTCCCCCCTTCTTCTCCCCGCTCTCCCTCAAAATCTTCTCCCTTCTCCAAGTCCAATGATTTCTCAACACTGAACCAGTCCTGCTGCTCATGCCCGCAATTCTCCCTTGACCTTTGCCTTCAGCGGCTTGCTTCCAAGTTGTCAGCCGCATCGACATCGGGTGGTAGTTCGTCAGCCTCGTGTCGATTTGACTCTCATCCAGTCAAAAAAAAAAAAAAAAAAAAAAAAATGCATGCCCTCGACATCCTATACCGGCGTGACGACAAGCAACTGGCCGCGTACAGAGCTGCCTGTACACTGAAAACATGCCCCATCAAGGAGTCCTACTATGCATACCGCCCATCGCTCTCCACCAACGCTGCTTTCCTCGCCCTCTTCTCCTTCTCACTATGCTGTTTCATTCTGCAAGCAGCCCTCTCGCGGCGCTTCGTCGGCTGCACAATTGCTATGGTCAGCGGGTGCATCCTTGAAGTGCTGGGCTACACTGGCAGAATAATGAGCTGGTATAATCCCTTCAATCAGGTATGTCTACATCCCTTAGCCTGCAATTGCCGACGACATCATCCACCTGTGCTGACGCCACCTGCAGAACGGTTTCCTGATGCAAATCGTTTGCCTAACCATCGCCCCTGCCTTCTTAGCAGCAGGAATCTACCTCACTCTCTCGCGCATCGTCATTACCTTCGGCCCCGAAAACTCACACATCAAACCTCTCTCTTACCCACGCATCTTCATTCCTTGCGACGTCATCTCTCTTCTGCTCCAAGCGATCGGTGGCGGCATGGCATCGGTGGCCAGTCACCAGGACAAGAGCCCCAATACCGGCGATCACATCATGGTTGCGGGGTTGGCGTTTCAAGTCGTCACGTTGCTGATGTTTCAGCTGTTGTGTTTGGATTTCATGATCAAGACGTTGAGGAGGATGAGGACTATGGGCGAGGCGGCGTTGGATCCGAAGCACGCGCTCTTGAGAGGCAGTACCAAGTTTCGAGCCTTTCTGGTCGCGCTGGGGCTAGCGACATTCTGCATCTTCATAAGATCGATTTACCGGGTTGCTGAATTGAGCGAGGGGTGGACGGGTGCTTTGATCGAAAATCAACATCTTTTCATCGGGTTTGAAGGGGCGATGGTTGTCGTGGCGGTTTTGGTTTTGAATATATTCCACCCGGGATACTGCTTCAGGGAAGGGTATGTGCAGAAGAAGTACAAGAACCTCTTCCGGAAGAAGGGAAGGAGGAGGAGGAGGAGTGCGGACGTTCGAGATGAGAAGGCCAGTCCGGTTCGAGACGGGTCGTCTGGAGCAGCCACGCCTGTTCAGGAGGTCGCCGAGAACGGGATTTGACACCAAGGAAGAGCAAAGGAATGCTGCAGCGGTGTAGCGACTTCGGCTCAGACACGGACGGTCACGGGCATCACGACATCAACGACGCGTTGTATATTACAGCCTGTAACAGAGTTAGCGCTTGCGCAAGGTTTGCCGGAGGGTCGCATAGCGCAGGGGACACCATCGTTGACGCTTTCGTATCGCCGTATGATCGTATTGGTGCGAGCCAGCTTTAGCACTGCAACAGCAATCTCCAAAGAGACGGAACAGGGTTGCTTCGGTTCGCTTCTCAAATGTAACGGCCTGTGAATAATCCATAGGGCAAACTTTGCGCAGGAAGACACGATTGAGGTCTTGGACGGCGGAAATCTTAACGGAGACAGTGGTAGCTCCCCCCCTTTGACGGTCTCGACGGTCAAGGCTTCTCAGGGGCAGCTTATCAGGAATTGTTGGGGGGATATTGGTGCTCGAAAATCGTTGCTCGACCGCTGCGAGCTCACCGTACAGTCTAGGTACAAGATTTCACGTAGCAATCAAAGATTCGGCTTCGGGTATAACAGGCTCTTGCCATGGGGTTTTTCTTTAATATCACAAACTCTTGTATTATTACCACACGATATCAACAATGACAAAGCCTCAAGCGAGTCGCCTCCAAGCGAAAATCGTCCTCTCACCCAGGACCGGTCTTGATTAATGCGCAAACCCGCCCAACCAACCATGGAGGGCGCTGGGAACAAATAAATGCTGATTGATTAAGGAAAGACATGAATATAGACATCCTTCTTCTCTCAACTCCACTCCCAACCGTCATCATGATGCCAAGGGACACGCTTAGGCGTAGACAACGAGACCAACAGCTGCAAGCACCACGGACAGGAAGAACCCGCTGTGCGAGGTCTTGGCGGCCGCACCCTTGAAGGTTGTCGCAGTGGGCGATGGTACTGTTGAGGCGAGAACCGAGCCGCTGCCGGAGGCACCAGCCACACCTGCAGCACCGACCACGGGGGAAGCAGCAGAGGAGGCAGTCGCACCAGCCTCGTTGGCGGCTGGGGTACCAGCTGCGAGACCGACGCTGCTGCCGGAGGTCGCGAAGTGCATTTGGGGCACGGCGAGCTGGGTTGAGAGCAGCGAGGTGGTTGTGCAGCCGGGAGCCATGACGCCGGTGGCTGGGACCTGGAGCTGACCATCGGTGATCTGGTCGACGAGGCCTGCGGCGACGGAGCAGGGGACGGTGACGATGACGGAGATCGGGATTGTGGTTGATGGGACGCTGCTGGACGGCGCGGGAGTCGGGGTAGGGCTGCCTGGGACCGGTGCAGTGGTTGTAGTGGTCTGGCCGGCCTCGACTGGAGAAGCTGGGGCCGGTGTCACAGTCCCAGCTGGAGATACGACGACGGCTGGACTGCTTCCAGCTGGTGATACGACGACGGCTGGGCTGCTTCCAGCTGGTGATACGACGACGGCTGGGCTGCTTCCGGCTGGAGATACGACGACGGCTGGGCTGCTTCCAGCTGGAGATACGACGACGGCTGGGCTGCTTCCAGCGGGTGTCGAAACAGGAGTAGGGATGAGCTCCACGGATTTGGTAATGATGGCAGGGTGCTGGGGAATGTATTGAGCGCAAAGACCCTGGTAGCTCGCCATGGCCTGGGCCTGTAGCGCCACGTCTTGTTCATAGTTCGTGATACATTCATACACGCTGGTGGTAACTTCGTCCTGTTTGCAGTAGCAGTCGTAGTCCGTGTTGCTTCCGCACCCCTTAAGGTCATAGTATGCTGAGATACAACCCTTGAAGGCGGGTGGTGGAGATGGCTGCGCAGGTGGTACCACTGGGCTGGATGAAGAGGATGGTGACTGGACGGGCACCACTAGGCTTGGCGAAGAGGTTGGAGGAGACAGGGTCGTGGTGGTAATCGTGGAGGTTGAAGTGCTGATCACGGTTGAAATGGTGCTGGTGGTGACCACTGTTGGCGTCTGGTGAGGAGGAGTGATAGTCTTGGTGACTGGGCAGGTCGTCAAAGTGGTCAAGACACTGTATCAGAGCCACGTTAGCTTACGCGCTAACAGCAGGAGTGGGTTACTTACATCTCGGTTGTGGTTGTAATAACAACTGGAGTTGATGTGTAAACAATTGGAGGAGACAGGGTCGTGGTGGTAATCGTGGAGGTTGAAGTGCTGATCACGGTTGAAATGGTGCTGGTGGTGACCACTGTTGGCGTCTGGTGAGGAGGGGTGATAGTCTTGGTGACTGGGCAGGTCGTCAAAGTGGTCAAGACACTGTATCAGAGCCACGTTAGCTTACGCGCTAACAGCAGGAGTGGGTTACTTACATCTCGGTTGTGGTTGTAATAACAACTGGAGTTGATGTGTAAACAATTGGAGGAGATGGTACAGAGCTGGTGGTGCCAACTTCCTGAAGAGAGCCAGGCGTAGTGGTCGTGGGAGCAGGTGGCGATGGTACGGCAGGGCTTGATGGACTTGGAGCAGGTGGCGATGGTACGGCAGGGCTTGATGGACTTGGAGCTGGTGGCGATGGTACGACAGGGCTTGATGGACTTGGAGCTGGTGTGGTGCTTCCCTGTTCAATTGGGGTGGAAGAGGAAGTCTTCTCTGCGCAGCGTGTGCAGGTAGTAATTGTGCTGGTGATCAAGCTGGTCTTGACGATGATGGAAGTGCTACCGCTGACAACAGTCGTGGAGGTCACTGGGCAGCTCGTCACTGTGGTGTAGGTGGTCAAGCTAGTGTACTCGGTTTCGATCGGCACTGAAGTCGTGGAAGTAGCTGACTCAATCAGAGATGGCGAAGACGGAGTAACCGATGGCGAAGGTGTCGAAGATGGCGAGACGACAGGCGAAGAAGTCGACGATGGCGTGACGACTGGCGAAGAAGAATTTGAGGATGGCGTGACAACTGGCGAAGTCGTTCCAGATTCACTGAGCGAAGGAGTAGAAGATGGCGAGACGACAGGCGAAGAAGTCGTTCCAGACTCAATTGGCGAGAATGCAGAAGGAGTAACAGAAGGCGAAACCTTGGGAGCAGTGGAGAGAGGAGGGCTGACCGGCTTGGAGGGAACAAGTACCGGTGTGCTGCTCGATGCAGGAGCAGAGCAGCTTGACGATTGGGCCGGCGTGCATTGGAAGTTCATTGCCACAATGCCGATAGGTACCTGGGGTCCCGATGGGGAACTAGGGTGAACGCAGACCTCATGGTAGTCACTTTGACCACAATTGGCGTTGTTCATGGTTGTGACCTCGTTGGCATTGCACAACTGGTGGTATGAGCAGCTGAGGCCGCTGATTTCGTTGTAGTGGGTTATCTGAACAATAGTGGGTTGTTCGACTACGATTTGGTGGGAAGTACATGAGTACTGCGAGCCAGATCCCTTGTTGACTGTGATACCGCTGCCTTTTGTTGTGCCGCAGGTTTGCATGATACATTTCTGATCCTGATCAGACATTAGTATTGGTAGTCAGGGCCCATTGCGAACATCTGCTTACGGTCGAGCCCGCAGAGCTACCTCCTCCACGCGGGAAAAGGCTTCTCTTGCTGTTGCTGTTGCATTTCATCTGGCCGTAATTTCCATTTTGGACACCCATTCCCTGAACGCCGGTACAAGAGCCCGATGTTGGCTGGGACTCTTCGGCGCAACTGATACCACCCTTCTGCGGGTTGCTACACTGGTTGGTAGATTTTGAACAAATAGGGAAACCCGGAGCACATTGCCAATCCGAGCCAGGCGCTCCCTGTCAGCGGCAGAATTAGATGTAGCTCTTCTCAGACGCAAGAAGAAAGGCGGAGGAAGCAAGACACTTACGGCTGCAGCCTGCTGAACAGCCAGAAGGCCAAAGAGGGCAGAGATGGCTGTTAAGCGCATGTCGGCGGTATTAGATGTGGTATGACTGTCGTGTAAGAGAGTGTATTATGGTATGCAATAGACAGTGAAGGGAAGGAACAACAGTCGAGGAAGCGAGTGACCCGACTATTGATGCAGGAAAGAGTGAGAAGACCCAACAAGACACGCAGACTTAGAGATTCGGAAGATGGAAGAAGAGTGCAACGGGGGGGTGGGCGGCAAGTTGATATAACAGCAACATGGGCAGTCTGGGCCCATTCGCGGGTTGGAAGGGCATTTCGGTATTATTACGAGGCGTTCTATTAGTTTGGGAGGAGTGTTGGCCCGTGAGCGACCAATGAAAGAGTGGTAGTGCCGTGTCAAAGGTGTAAGGCAGGGATGAAAGGTTGGTGTTTTGAGAAGGGTGTACTCTACATGTATGAGGGAGAGGAGCTCAGGAATTTCCTTAGCAGCGTCTTGAAACGGGTTAGTCAGGTACGTGTGCCGCTAACTTTGCACCGTTAAAGCGGCTCAAGGCGTAAAAGTGGTTGGAAGAGGCATCTCGGGCGAGACGCTAGACATGATCGCCCCTGTTTCACTTCGAATCCTCGCCCTTTCCCCTTCTTTTTGTTAGGTATACTATACTAGTACTTAATTTTGGTACTATTAGCTTACTTTATTTAATTTCCATCATGTTCCGTCAGTTGGTCCGACGATCATATTTCTAAGTTAAATCCGCAGGCACGCGCCCGCAGTCTCCTAAAAATAATCCCTCACTTATTATTAATGTACTTTACATAACGAGATCCGGGGAATTGCATGATTTGTTGCATTAGTGCCCACCACAAAGCCGTAATTGCTGTTAAGATTTAACGGCCTCTCATCTTCATACGTCACGCCTTCTTATCTCCATTGTTATTCTTATTCCTCTTCTTCTTCTTCTTCTTCTTCTTCTTCTTCTTCTCCTTCTTCTCATCTTCATTGTCTCAAGAAAGCTGCTCCTGTCATGTCGAACAACAATCGGTAGAATGCCAAGTCGTGGGCGGTACGGAGTAGTAGTGGTCAAGACCAAACAGTGGCCTCAACTCTGAGACGCCAAGAGGACCCTTAAAACCCAACTAGGGTGCTCGCCCCCATTGGTCTGAAACTCAGGAGAGAAAGCGATTCGCTCGCCGCAACCGCAGACCTTCCTCCGGTCACCGGGTCAATACGGTTAAGTCGCTGAAGATCACTAAAGTAGTCACTGTTGAAAAAATACCTTACGGATACATGCCCTGAGCTTTTAGCAAATGCCAACTCGCAGGCGCCGCACTTGGCAACGAGGCGGGGTGCCAAAACCCTCAAAAGAGTGGGATTAATTTGCCAATTAGGTGGAGGACCAAGGAGTAAAGACTAAAGAGTAAAGTACCAAGGACGAGTATTGAGCTTACTATGCTCGTGACACTCATGATGGTCACAGATCCGTGTCCGTCCATTCATGAAGTACAGACTACAGAGGGAATATTCCGTCCCGATACTGCCGAAAAGAGCCCAGAGTTTCCAGACTTTAGACTGTACCGCTGCTTGAGCCTCGTTGTAGACGTGCGGAGATTGAATGCGGAGCAGCAGTAGTCATCTCTTGACAGAAAGGGTACTCGCTTTTGGAGAGGATGGTATGCTTCTCCGCCTCTCCTTTTCAGGAGCTGATGGATCGAGCTGGACGTACACCCCTTTTTGCTGCATGTACATTGCACACGAGCACGCGAGCACACCGTCGAGCATATCTGTCTCAGGTTCAAAGTATCGTAAAAGCGTAGGAGCGAATATGTACAGAAAGGATTTTCCGAAGGGGGAGAGGATATGGCTCACGGAAGACACTTTCGGCCCATAAGACGGATTGAAGGTGTACTACTTGATGACAATCATCTCCGGACGATCGAAAAATGGTTGGAAATATGCAATCAAGGAATTGCAAAACAACAAAGAGTCTGACGTGCATCAAAGATGGCCTCTCAGATCTCTAATTCTTCCAGCAGTCGGATCCGACTTCTGCGTAATTCGCTCAGGCGACGAAAATTTTCTTTGCAAAGCTGCCTCCAAACAAGGCAAATCTGGAGGCAAAACTGTTATGCATCCCGTATATGCCTCATACCCCTGATCATTGTTTTGAATGGTAGGATTTTGTTCCTACAGAGTCGCGTCGGAATCAAAGTTCAGAGTTTTGCGTAAACGAAGTTGCGTAAAGTCAGCGTATATTGTCAGACTGCGGAGTATTAATGATGTACATTTGTCCCCGGAAAAGTAACCATTCGAGGGTGCACATGTAGCAAAAAGGGATTTACGTCTGGTCGTACCCTTCCAGAATCCCCTGGCCCAGAAGCTCTGCCGCATTTAGACTTCTGACTTGGGCGCGGTTGACACTATGTGTGTTTGCGGTTCGTGTGGATAGAATCTTTCAATGTCAACGCTCTGACTCTACCACCATGGTTGCTTTTGACCCCGAACACACTCGAACTTTTTTAGTCGCAGTTCTCGAACGCATGACTTTGAAAAATTCGGCAGAGAGATATTTTGGTCGCATCCACGTTGGGGCCTAGAATTGCCAAATCTTTCCGAAGTCTCTAATCCACGATTAATCGACAGCACAATCCACATGAGCGGCTTATACGCGTCGGAATGCCTTCAATCGTTGTTTGGGCGGCGGTAGGAGAATAGCGCATTTCCTGTTTGACGACATCGAGTCATCGCCTATTGCGAGTAAACGCCAACTAGAGGACTGACTGCAAACAAGGCGCACTCTCGCGCAATTAAGACGGGACAACAAAAGGGAGAGGTCGGCGTTTCTTCGAATGGCACAGTGTTTGCTTGTTGACTGACTATCCCATGTCCTGGCGGGGCTTTCCTTTCAGGTGTATGCCAAGCAAGAGAGAGCCCACCTCGCTTGGACTTGGGCTAGCGGTATGCTGCCGATAGATATCATTGACTAGAATAAGAAAAGTATTGCGCACCAATTGCCTGCAAAAATGTCTTGGGGAATCTTTTCCGCAAATGAAGAAAGCATGTCAACATTCTCTTACTCGTCCCACGCATGCTTTCAAGACAGAATCATTCCTCATCAATAGCATCCACGCAGCTTGCACTCTTGTTGTTGTGGCCAGCTGCGTGAGCTGGATTCATTGGAAGCCAAGGTATAGCCTCGAAAAAAGAATGCAGCTTCCCGACTACGCAGAGGCACCCTGATGGATTATGTAACCCACCGAGCCTCTGACTTCTCCCACTTTATTGCTCCCTCTGTTGGGGTTAGCCCTGATGTGTGTCCATGCTTGCCTCCCTCACCTCGACCTCTACCTATGATCAGTCCCTCTGGTGCGCGCAGCATGGCTTAACATAGCCTTCTCACGCTCCTCTCTCCTTAGCTCTTGAGCTAATGAGCCATCCTCCGCGAACTGGCCCCTCCCCCCCTGCTGCTGCTCCACTGCCTCAGCCTCTCTCATCCCCGCCTCTACCTGTTCGATAGGTGCGCCAGTCGGGGCGGTGGTCGTTGGTGGCGCATTTGAGGAGGTGGTGGGCGCGTCGTCATCCAGAGCAGCGATTTCCGCTTCTGTGAGCAGCCGCTCCTTTTCAAGACGAACCTCTTTGCCGCGTTTGTGGCAGTACCAGAAGACGAAAAGAAGGACTTTGCACACTCGTCAGCAAACAGAATCTACACACAGGAAATCCAGACATCTCGTGACAAACGCGAATGAGGGAGCGAAAGAGCGTACCGAACAAAGCGAGCGAGTAGAGAACGTTCATGCCCAAAAAGGCGGGAAATCTGAGCTTCAAAAAGTTCATGATCGCTTTCAGCATGGCAGCCACAGCACCGGGTTTGGTGACAAGGTCCTTCAGACTTGGTACCCTGACCTTCAATCCTGCCCTGGACGCACCACTAGCAGCCATATTGGCATACTTAGAGTTGATTCCATGCTTTTCAGCAGCTGCTGCAAGCATCTCTGGCCCAATCGTTTTGGTCATCTTTGACGGGAGTTGTTCGACAAGCTTCTGGAGCCAAGGTGGGAGGTGTGTGTATGTACGCTGGATTTGATCTTCGGAATTTGTGAGAAGGGATTCAAGGTCGCCATAGGCCGTAGGGACGCCATTTGTAAGGTCTTTGAGGACCAGGGTGAATCTAAAGAATGGTCATTACTTTAATCCAAGGTACCGGACATGAAATGAAGGGAGGTACATACTTGCGGAGGAGCTCTTGAGACTCTTTCGAAACAGAGAATACGCGATTGTTGACTGCTGCCAGATTTAGTTGCTCCAGAACGGAGCTCATCTCTTCTTCTTCTTTCTTCTCTTCCGTATCAGAAACGGTGTGATCCTCGTTGGGCTGGGCATCGGCTGATTTTAAGCCCTCTGCCGCGCTCATCAGGTCCGTTGCTGTAGCTTCTTTGTTTTTGCGCTTGACATCTCTGGAGTCTCTCCGTAGGAAGCTCCACTTGGATTTCTTGCCCTCCTTTTGCTTTCCTTTCGCATTTCCTTCGTCGATATCGTCAGGTTCGGCGGTGGTGAGGACGTCATCTGGGGTGTCTGGGACATCTGGTAGAGCTATGTTTTGCGATCCGTCCAAGAGTGCGATTTGAGCATTGTTGCCTTCAGTCTCACCAACGTGGGGAAGATCTTGGGGACGAGTGGGTAAAGGTGGAGCAGGACGTGCAGGCAACTCGGGCGGTGTACCCTCAGTCTCTATACGCGCAAGGAATGCTTCGTCCTCTTCATTCAGGACAGGAGTCTCAACTTGTGTCTGAGGCGCTGGTGACTTGGATCTAGCTCGCTTGGAGGTGAAGTATTCCATCATCTTGATGGTGGCTTCAGGATAGGAAAGGAAAATCAATAGTAGTAAGAACGGCCTGTAGGAGTGTAGAAGTTGAGAGGGAGAATAATGAAGACGATTTCAAACTTGGTCATGAGTACCCTTTGTTCTTGATTCTCGAACCCCACTACACGTCATTGAGCAGGAGACGCGGGCAGGAATCACGTGTCCACACTAAATTTGGCACCCGTCTTCACAGAGGGTGAGAGTCGATGAATCAATTTTGTTCACTAAGAGGAATAAGTATATTACTTGAAGATTTGAAACAATCTTCTGGACGCAGTCCTCGCTTTTGCTAGACGACTGGCCATCATGCTCACTGTCGAATGCCACTTGAGTCCCTTTCTCGCTGCAGGCTTTTTCATTTCGAATCTCGGTCACGGTCTGCAGCAAGCCGATGATTACGCCTGCCTTTTTGGTTTTCTGGTTTTATTCGTAATCTGACATGTTATTACGACTTTCTCCTGCGCCTGAGTCTCCTCTATACTGAGTTCGAGTACGTATGTGGTCGCCAGCAATTCTATCAGAGGGCGGTTGATGTCCAGTGCCTGCGTATCGCTCATGGAGACAGACTTCGAGTGACTAAAAGTTTCTCTCCCTATTGGTAGGCATACGGGGAACGGAACAAAGATATATGACGGGTCGAGAATGCAATTGTCCAAGCGAATGAACGCGAGACTCGCGGTGTAGCCATTGCAGCTCGATCGATCTAATAGTAGATTGATCATGATAGCTAAGGCTTAACAAAAATTCATCAATACGTACATCTAGCAGTTTCAATCCAAAGTTGGGGGAGGATTTCTTCTATCAATGTTGCAATGGTACCGCCGAAGCAAAGCTGTTGTACAACCTCTTAATTTGGAACCAAGACCGAAGCCAGCAGATGGCTGGCAAATTACGGGACCTTCGCCCGCCCACATCAACCTGTACTTCTAGCACGTGTTGCAGCCAGAGTCATTTCATTTTCCTATTGCTTCTGCAACCCGGGCTGTTGCAATCCTGCTCCACAATTTTTAGAGGTCTCGTCTCGGACTCTATTCATCACCTGGCTGTCAAGGCAGTACTCACATCCTGTCTAGGGAGCTTTCTTTCTTTACCAACTCTCATTAAATGGCCATCCAGGGCACTGTTGTGTATTTTGATAGCGGGCAATGCTTTTGCTATTGTGTCGTATACCCTCAACATACCCAAGAGTGTTGCGACGTCGATCTGTCTATACCTCTGCCCACCCAGCTACTTTCTATTTTCGATTCATCACCGGAACTTCACCCTTATCAAAGAATCTGTGTCTGCAAGACATCCGTCTCCAGATCTTCAGACAGTCTTGAAGGTCAGACAAGAAAAGGTTTTAGCGACGACTGGCGGACAGCCTGAGTTTCAGTTCTTCGGTCGCACAGATGGCAGACAGCACAGCGAAAGGCCATGAGCCAGGAGCAGGAAATAATTCAGAATTTCCTGTAAACAAGATGTTTTTCCATTATCTGGGTACTTGTCTGGTGATCCTAGCTTCGTCATGCTGACGATCATGCTTCCAGGACTCGGATACCATTGCACACAAAAAAGGCTTCCTACCACTTCTGTCCGATAATCCCCAGCAACGTCAAATAAAGACTGTCTTCATTGACGAGTCCAATGTTCCATCTGCTCCAAGGACTCCCAACGAGAAGCGATTTGATTCCTGGACCAGTGGACATGCACAAAGAGATACCCTCATTCCCCTACTTCCCGATCGTGGTACGCATTCTTCAAAACAGAGCGTTCCCGGTCACGGCCCAAACATAGGATCTGTCTCTCCGAGATCTCTATCAGCGGGTGTGCTGAACATAGAAGGGCCTTCGCAAGAGCATCGAGAGCATGTCGCTGGAGCCGTTGCCCAGAAGAACGACGTACGCCTAACTCGATCAAAACCTGTACGTCATTATGAGTGGCCGTTAATCATTAATGGTGTCTATCAGGGAGAGGGACCGTTACCATCATGTCGGATTGAAGACAATGGGTCGCCCACTAAACCCAGACCATACGCTTGGCCACTCATCATTCTTCATCGGGCGCGTTCTGTAGAGGATGGTGATCAACTATCATGTCCAAGCGGCGAAGAAGCAAACAAGAATGCTGCAGGGAGGAAAGAGAAGGTCGAGAAGGTCAAAACAGACGATAAAAGCACTGATGAGGCAAGAACGACGGATGGCGTCTCCGCAAAACTTTGACACGATAAGATGTTCAGAACTCGGGATAGGTGGACTTGGGAGACGTTGGACAGTGTATGAGAGACTCTCGAGCAAAATGCTTGCGAAATGGACTTGTGTGGGGCAAGGTCAGGATTGAGAGAGTGAGAGTACGGCTTCTGAAATTATATGAGCAAAAATCGCCTTAGTGCTATGGCAATTTCCTAGGCCAGATCAACGAAGACAAAAGCATCAATCACTGGCCCAGACAGCAGCATGAAATCAGTCTGTTTCCACTTCACTTCGGGCACTTCATGCTTCTCCCATGGACCGGTACTTTGCGAGTGCATGACTTGCCTGAAAGAACGAGTACCTGAACAAGACAGACCCATTTACCAACAATCGCTCAGGTAGTTCAATGGCAGAACGTCAGGACCTCATCTGGGTCGGGGTCGCTCCCTAGACCGGGAGCGCTTGCCAATGTGTAGGTGTTCTAGGTCTCCCGGACTGATCGACTTGAAGATAACGGTTCGAAACCGTTCTTGAGCATCACTTTTTCTTTATCTTTAGTTTTGATCTTGTTTTTGTGATCTGGGTACCCCTTCTTCACTTTTGAGATCAATAACGGTTTTGGGCTCTGGACTGAACTACGATTCCCAACCTTTGGCTCTTAGGCAGACTGAAAGGTAATCGGAAGATGGTTATAGTAGATCGTCTCGTCCAACTAAAATCTTGATTGCTTGCTCACGCGCCAGTTCATTGCGGAGCACTGAGATCAGAATTGGTTTCTTTGCTGACAGCAGGCCTGTTGTGGATGCTGTCACTTGTTCCTGGACAGGTCAGACCCCTTATTTGTACAGCCGCACAGTACATACACATGTTCACGGCAATATATACACGGTGCCATGGGAAATCTGAAGCTCGCAGCCAATGTTGAATCTCATGACGAGACCCTCATCCGAGTGGTTTAGTTTCACTAGCGGAGACATTGTCACCCTCCTGGCCTTCAGGGACTAAACCTGGCGCCATTCCTATAGCTCCCTCCATATCACCTTTGTTGTACAAGAATAGCCCCTGTACAGCTGCTGCGCTCGTGCTTCTTGCAGAGAGCCTTTTCTCCTCAGTCTCGGGGTTGATTAATCCAAGCTGCTCCAAACGCTCCAGGAATTGGGCCTTGAAGATTCCTTGCACATCAAATTCACCATAGAAGCGGTCCCACATTTGAGCCATCTGCCATCTTGTAGCTTCCCCGAGTCTGACTGCCATATCAACCCTCCCAGGCCGGATAAGGGCACTGTCAAGACGGTCCACATAATTCGTTGTCAAGAACACAATGCGCTCCTCAGCACTCGCCACGCCATCCAATGCGTTGAGCAGCCCCGAAAAGGTGACATTCGCGCCGCGATAACCGTCATCATCGGTCTGGGTCCTTCGATTGCCGAACGCTGCATCGGCATCTTCCAGTAGCACTAGTGTCCTTCGTGGTATGATCGTAAGGAGGTGGTTCAGTCGGTCATCCGTCAAGCCTCGCTCGCTTAGGTTAAGCATGGCAATGTTGTAGTCTAACTCTCCAGCTAAAGCCCGGATGAAGGAGCTCTTTCCACTGCCTGGAGGTCCATGTAGCAGGTACCCTCTTCGATACGGTATGCCTCGATCGTAGTACCATTTCGCACTGCCCAAAAAGCCTCTGACATCGGAAAGGATGCGCTCTTTTATCCCCTTGTCCAATATAACAGACTCAAGGGGTCTTTTCCGGCGAGGCTCACCAAACTTTTCCCAAGATGTAGCCCTGGCCTGATAGACTATCGTCTTGCCTTCGGAAAATTGCTGCGCCAATTGATGTGCTTCTGAGAAGATGTCTTCAAAAATGTTGCGCTGTGAGTAGAGTGTCGTTAGCGTGATTGTCTCCCATGGGATACCTGTGCTGTGGTTCATAGATCTCGTTTCGCGCAAGCGGTTGACCACGAGAAACGCATTTCGGTATCTAATGATATGTTTTCCGGGGCCCGGAATGAGCGTAAATTCGGTCTGAACTGATCCGTTGGGGTGCTCGACCTTTTCCGTTTCTATAGAAAGGTGATGGATTCCTGGGGTAAAGCGGCGCATTAGAGACTCTAGGAGCCCAGGTCTGCCCAATTTGCCATGACTGGGAGTAGTAGACCGAGAAAAGGATGGTAGTTGACTGCGTTGGTGAACGGTCATCCAGTATAGGAACCAAGGATAGGATTCATCTTTGACATTGATCTCAACGTCGACGAGTAAACGTCTTTTGACAAGACTTGCGCCATGGCGGACACCTTTCTGGCCAACTGCAAGAATGGCACCAAATCCAGCGAGACCCAGTCCCTGGAAAGCCTGTCAGCGTTCTGGGAATGCCATCCGCGTGTTTCTGACGTACTCACAGCAGTGAAGAAAGGGTTGCCGGAAACTTGTGCCAGGAAGCCGCCATCATTGCTTTTCTCTGGAACAGCAAAGGGATCAAGGGCGCCTCTATGCCCATACTGATGGATCACATCTGATCTGGGCACCGGGACGGCATCGTTCGCCATTCGCAAGCGATCTTCACGGCATCTTGCTCAACCCAAATTGCGATTAATTGATGGTGGTCTTTGCTGGCTGACTCAGCTTCTCCCCAGAATGGAGCAAGCCACATGTTCAAGACCCTCCCAGATCTCCTGTCACGGTCTCGTGGTATTATTCACGGTTATCGTACTCCGATATTCGATCCTGCACCACTGCATAGATGAGACCCAATCGCACGAGAGAAGATGTAACGGACACCGAAGACGCGGCATATTGGTCGGACCGAGTCCGCTCCTTCAAGCTCTCATTCTCCTTTGAGCTAAGTACTCTTTCTAGGCTGCGATTCTCTACCTATCTGACACTGCATTTCTACGATTCAAATACTACCCGTCTCCTCCAGCGTCTCCGTCTCCATCTCCTCATGCAAGCATTTCTGCGTCGCTTTTTCTGTCTCCCAAAGAAGCCAACCTCCCCACGCAAACCCTTTTCCACATCTCACAGAATGTCAAGCTCGGGAATAGCTGCCTCGCTCTACGCAGCCACAATATCTCCAGCCTCGATCACTGGAGCTGAGCCTGAAGCAGCCAAAGACAAGCTGCATCACCTGAAAGATGGCAAGGGTTTCACTAATCCATGGGTGTGTACTGAATCTCCCATAGCGGGCCACGAATTATACTCATCGGTACGTCTTCCCTTATAGGATAGCTGGATTGAATTATCTGGTTCAAGTATCGCGAAGGCGATGATAATGTACGTTTGCTCGTCCGTGGTAACACCCTCGGCTCAACCCTCTCCAGGCGCCGCCTCAAAGGCACTGCAAATAGACCTGATACCACCCCTCCAACAGTGACAGTTCGAAAGCCCGACTTCCTTCCTTCCAGAAGCACTGATACCCTCCGAGCCACATGGTTAGGTCATGCCTGTTATTTCGTGGAATTTCCTGGAGGCTTCCGCGTCTTGTTCGATCCCGTCTTCAGCGAGCGATGCAGGTCAGTAGTTATCGCTCGAGCATTGCTTTCAGCTAATGGCATTCGATTATTCCAGCCCGTTCACGTGGCTAGGTCCCAAGCGTTATACGGACGTGCCCTGTCAAATTGAAGATATCCCTACCATTGACGCCGTCGTTATATCACATAATCATTATGACCACATGGACCACCCTACTATCACGAAGATCAAGGCGAAGCATCCAAACGTCCACTTCTTCGTTCCGCTCGGCAACAAGAAATGGTTCGCAGAGTCAGGCATTAATGAGGGTGTGACGGAGCTTGACTGGTGGGAGCAGCGAGACATTGACTTAGCACCTTCCGCGAGCAAGCCTGCTGTGTCGAAAACAGATGTTAAGTCGGACCTGGCAGAAGAGAAGAGCATTTCCGCTCGCATTGGATGTCTACCGTGCCAGCACACAAGCGCCCGGACCTTATTCGACAAGGGACTCACTCTATGGGCTAGCTGGAGTGTAGAGAGCGGAGGTAAGAAAGTATGGTTTGGAGGGGACACTGGCTACCGTGCTGTGCCCGAGCTCCCTAAAGGCGTCGATGACTACGATGAAGAGCACGTCTACCCACGTTGCCCCGCCTTCAAGGACATTGGTGACCTTCGAGGACCGTTCGACCTTGGCCTCATCCCTATTGGCGCATACGTACGTACTCTCCCTTCCCAGTTTTCTTTGTCCGAGTGACATGCTGGGTCTTGAGTCATGTTTCGTGACTCTCTACGCGGAACGTGTTATCCTCTGCTGGAACAGCAATGCTGACTTTGGAATCTTTATTCAGGATCCCCGCTGGGTTATGTCACCTATGCATGCAAATCCGTTTGACAGTGTCGAAATCTACAAGGACACAAAATGCAAGCGAGCTATGGGTATACACTGGGGAACTGTAAGGCACTTTTTGCAGTTATCTCTTCCTGTCCACGACTGCTTTTTGAGTCGTGAGACACTTCGGAGGAACAATTTCCGCATTCTACCACCTTTCTGTCCCTTAAACATGGCTTATTACTCAATTTTTCATCTACGAATGCGAATGCTAACTCGGAAATGTGCTATAGTGGGTGTTGACAGAGGAAGATGTGCTCGAACCACCTCAGCTGCTCAAAAAAGCTCTCACGAGAAGCGGCATACCGGATACAGGGGTGTTCGATGTGTGTGAGGTCGGAGAGAGCCGACAGTTTTGAGGTGTGGGATATTGAGCATCAAGCCACCAGGTTTCTCAAATTTTGACAGAGTTCAAGGAATATAGTGCAAATAACGCACTTCGGCTTTGCACTTTAATTGGAAAAATTGGTTGAGCCTACAGAGATGGATCGCCTGTCTCTAACATCTGAGTTCGACTTTCGAGCGCTGCCTAACCGAGACAGGATAAAACATAGAACGAATCCTTTAAATTGGGAGCTCTCCAAATCATCACTTCCACGGCAATGCTGAGATGAGGTGACGTTGTCTAGCCCTTCAGCTTCTTAAAGGTCTAGGATTTGGCTCTTTCCGTCTGCGTTCTCAAACGGAAGCAAACAGAACAGTGCATGTTTCTGTAGCAAAAGGCGGTGCAACGTGACAACTAGCATTGCAAGCCTCAGTGACGCAAACTCTGCAAGGACTGTGAATTTGCCAGAAGAATTGGATAAGTCATAGCTTTAGATGATGTGTCATTTATAACTAGCATCACCTCTCAAACCCAGTGACCTAATGCCTTTTGACTCTCATTGCTTGCACATGAATTGAAGGATTAGTTCGACAGCTATTTTGTTGCTGGACTCAGTGCCCGACATCCTCAATCTACTTTAGACCGTGGAAACCGGCGCAGCCCTTCCTCAGCTTGTCAATGAAACCCGGATGCTGGTAGTTTAGCCAATCCTTCGTCCCAGTGATGTATAAGAGAGGCGCTTCGATCTCCTTGCTAGCAAAAGTGTCGAAATCCCTCTGTATTTCTACGCTGCTGACAACCAGTTTGATCAGGCCCCCTTGGAAGCCCGTACGCCTAAATTTGTTGACACAGATGTCGAGTTCGGTGTCAGGAATACACTGAGTTCTGTTCTTGCGCTATGGTATCACTTAATACGATCTAGAATTCTTCCTTGATGGATTGAGCTATCTCAGCTCTTGATGCAACCAGGCTTTGCAGGCAATTTCTCCTTCTCAGGCGCAATATGAGTAGCATTTTAGGTGCGCCAAGGAAAGGTTGTCCTGATAGAACAGCTTTGCGGAAGATGTCAGGCCTGCTAAGAGGTGCAAGTGAAGCAGGAGTGCATTCAACATCGTAACTATCTAGCTATGCATTCCACTTTGTGGTATACTAGCCACTGCACCCGGACCACCGCGTCTCGCATGGTTGAACGTTCGCAGCTCAACGCGTTCGAAACTGGACGCGTCCCATCCTGAGGTACTGCCGTACGCTCGTTGTTCAAAGGCGATGATATGGAAGTCAGGTCTGACAAGAAATGGCAGAACCACGCGACATGAATTTGCAAGCTTTAGAAAGTGACGGAGAAGGATGATGAAGGGAATGCCTTGGAGCCGGTTTCGATGATGTGGTAGGAGAGGGTTGAAGCGCTGCTTATAATATGACGTTCTTAAAACCCTGCGGGAAGGGAAGGGAAGGCAGCAAATAGTAGACACGTTTCATTTTCTAGACGCGAAAGGATTGACTCCAATTGGTGAAGGCGTTGTTCTTCCTTACCATCAACGAGAACCAGGACAATGGTACTGGTACTTGTGTTGCTTCACCTACCGCGGGCAAATATGGAAGCCCAACCTTTTAAGGTGGCAATAGCCCTTCACGAATTACAACTTTCGACAGACATAGCACTATCTCTTCCGTCTTCCTCATTGATACGACGTCCATTCACATTGATATGATGTTCTAACACTTTCCTGCTTGAATGGTGCGCTGTAAAGGAAAATCTTGCCCTAAGGTCGCCCTAAAATCTCCGTGCTTCCTGCCGCGCCGGCGCCGCCGTACAACCACCAAAGGTATGTAAGGGTCGCTCATCCACATCTCTCACACACACAGTCTCCTTCATCCGTGGAGATGTTTATCTACAGTGTCTAAAGACTTCAGCATCCCCTCGGAAGAGTGAGAGCCTGGCTCTATCGCTGTCATTCCAGAGTCCCGCAGCGCATCGGAAATTAAGTGGCCTCACCACTCGGGAAATTGCGCATAGATGCACCACCAAAGAATCCAGCGACGATAGTCATCCGAGAGCTTTAAGCTCATCGAAAGTTTGGAGAGCTGTTCGACTCGTCAGTAGGCCAGTCTCGACAGATCTCCAAGAGCCATGTTTAATCGCAAGAGAGCGACCTCCAATCCCGTAAGCCCTCTTCCCTGCCTCAGTCACACTACAGACCTACAACTGACCCTGAGGATGTAGCCTCGGCTAGTCAAAACGGTCCCGAGTGCTGCTGCCTCTACCGCTGCTACGCAAGCGTTTCTTGCCAACCGACATTCCAATGCCAACCTCTCGAATGCCGCTGCAGCCGCAGCTCTGCGTTCTCAAACGACTAGTCCGATACTAGTCGGGCAGATACAGACAAAGCGCATGCAAAGGCGTGGCTCTGCGTCATCAAATGGCACTGCCCCCGATCGGCCTGGACTAGGACGGCAGGGCAGCAACGGGTCGATGACAGAGCGGACCTTTCGGGATCCTTCACCAGGCCGTCCTGCTTCTTCACACGGGCCATATGCACGTCAAGATGAGCCTCCACCAGTACCTGCACTTCCAAAGACCTATGCTTCGCCGGTCTCCGTACCACACAAAGCCGCTCGAAGGGCAGCGAGCGTCGAGCCACCGGAGAGAGTCAGCTCTCCTCCCCCACGGCTGGCTGGAGGGCGTGGTGTAAGTCTGGATAGGGGACCAGGAATGTACAAGCCGAACCAAGGGGGAGCCAAGGCCAGGGTGACTAGTCTGAATACCGTTGGCGAATTGGAACGGGCTGGGAGCAGAGGATCGATCAACTTTTCGAGACCAATGAGCCCTACAAATTCGCCGCCGGCTTCACCATTGGCAGGCGGTCGGGTGAGATCTCCGCCTCCGACAAACGCTACTCTGATATCTGGTCTTCCAAGTCGCGAGGTTGATAGAATAATGGAGTCCATACAGGAAACAGCTGCGCGACCCGTCAAAAAGAAGAAGAAAGTGATGGCGAAGGACAGTGCTGAGGGTAGCTATCTTGCGACTGGCACAACCAACGGTCCGGCTCAGGGGGCTTTCTTGGAGGCGACTCCTAAGCGGCAACTACCCTCGATCACATCGACACCTTCACCATCAAGTACTGGATCCCAGCCAAGTGGTGCCGACGGGGCTTCAAGGCCCAAAAAGAAGAAAAAGAAGATCGCTCCGCATACAAGCTCGCAAGCTCAAGAGACGGGTGAGGGGTTCGGAAGTGCTTACCCATCTGATACCGATTCAGTAACATCGGAACGTAGCAGCACAACTGAACGACCTCGGAGTCTCAATACCAGGGCAGCTGGTATTTTAGCCAAACAGCCTTCAGTTGTGCGTGAAGACCGTGAGGCCGAAGAACAAGAGGAGAGGCATCTACCAACGAAGAGAACCAACGGTCAAGTGATCAAGAGTGGTACTGCTTTTGTCGGAACGCCAGCAAACACGTCCAAGGTTGTGTCAAAAGAACGTCAGCACAACAGGTCTGCAAGTCAACAGGCTGCCCTGCAAGGGCCGAAGCGGACTTCTTTGGATGTGCCAGGCGCAGCTAGACCTCAGTCGCTGAGCCCAGCCAGAGCTGCTCATTTCTCGTCTCAGCCGGAATACGAGACTCCAGATGGCACAAAGCACCAGCCGCCAGCACGTTCAGTTTCGCCAGCCAAATCTGCCCTGAAGCATTCTCCTTCCCGTGGACCTTCCCCTATCGGAGTCATAGTTGGAGGCGAGAGTCGGCGGCAAGGTCTTGCCCCCAGTGAAGCTTCCGACACTGCGTCGAACATCTCAGATGATGGATTAAGGTCCTTGCCGAAGAAGAAAAAGAGCGCGCGAGTCAGCTTTGACGACGACTCCGTTGCTGTAGGCCGTGCCGCAAGCCCCCCTATGAGCCCCGACTCACCGGTAATACTTAGCCCGCAGAGCAAACCCAAGTCTCGTAGTTGGTTTGACCTCGTTCGAGAGAAGAACCAGGAGTCGATGATGTCTGATTCGGACCAAGACAGCGTCATCAAACCCACCCCGGCTTTACCTTCTTTCGGACCTATACGCAGTCGCAACGATGAGCTAGCGCTTGACTCTGCCGAAGAGCAGAAGCCTAGCGGAGATCGGGCGAATGACACGCTGGGCAGCATGGATACTTCCACAGACCAGGTCGTTGGAGGCCTCCTGTTGCACAACGCAGCAACAAAGAATAACAAGGATGGTATACAGCCAATGCCGTATCAAGGCTCTCAAGACCCCGTGCCTCCGGAGGTCACATCTGTTGAGGGAAGTGGATATCATTCTGATGAAGAGACTAACTTCCTCGACGAGCAGCAAGAAGTCAAGCGCCCGGGGACCAAAGAAGGTGCTCATCAAGTTTCTGATGACGTTCTTAGTCAACAAACGGCTTCATCCGATGCGCCAACGGCTGAGCAGCCAAGCGCGGATGTCCCCACTATTTCTCTTCAACCAGCTACGCCGGCGCTGGAGACCGGCCGTAGCGAGCGGACCTCATGGCTTGGGATGCCCGGCGGGTTTCCTTCAGCTTCGGAAGCCGCAGAAAAATCCAACGGTTCCGCTGCCACTGTTGCAGAGACACATCCCGAAATAACACCAGCAACAATCGGAATTGCAGAACCAGAGCCAGAAGCTGCAGCTGCTCAGCATGATCCAGGGAGTCCGCATGTTGGTGAAGTTGCAGAGGGTTTGCGGACACAGATCGAGTCGCAGAGTGGCGACGAATCCGAGGACACAGGCGGCAGTATCTACAGCGATGCGGCAGAAGACCCAGATGATCTTGACGGCGATGGATTTGGTTCTATTAATGCCATAGTTGAAAGTCCAGCAGCAAGTCCAATCATAGCCGTCGCTGGCAGACCGCCGCCTGTCAGTCCCACCAACATGGCACCTATTGCCAAGACTGCACGGCCTAGCCCGTTGGCAAGGAACGAGAGTGAGCTCTCGGAGCCTACATCGGACGCCGGATGGGACCGGGCACAGGCATACTGGTCAGGACTGAGTCAGACTAGGAGACAGCAATTGGAGCAGGCAGCTGCACCTGGAGCTCCTGATAAGACTGTTATCCCGAACAATTCGACGAGGGGCTCAGAGTCAGTGAAGAAGACAAAGAAGAAAGTTTCCAAAACGGTTTCCAAAACGTCTACTTCAGGCCCAGAAACGAATGATCCGGCATTACCGCCTTGGCCGGACAACCAATACCGTAACGATATCGCTAGGCCAGCATCGCCTAAAGTACCACCGCTCAAATCGTCATTGCGAAATACACAGGCAGATAAAGTACAAGAAACCAATATGCGCTCCTCAATGCGCAATGGACCAACTCCCAAGTCAGCATTGCGGAATGGTGGTCAGGTTGATAACACACAAGAAACCCATATGCGCTCCTCAATGCGCAATGGACCACCTCCCAAGTCGGCGTTGAGGAATGGTGATCAGAGGAATAGCGTGCAGTCACAGCCAGAGCCAAGAGGCGCTTTGCAGAAGAAGAATCGTCCAGTATCTGCGGTGTCTATGATTGAATACAACAAGCCTCGAGCTTCACCTGCGCCTACTCACTCACGAGCTGCGTCAAGTGATACACCAGCAACATCTCTAACACCTGCACTAGCCCAGCCAAAGAATAAGAAGCCAATAGCGAAGCCGAAATGGAGTCGGAATGACAGCGACTCTTCCAGCAGTTTCAAAAAGGCCCGAGCCTCCGCACCCACCGCAACTTCGAACCGGTACAGCATGAAGCGGACGATGAGACCTACATCAGTGGATGATCGACCTCAGTCTCTGGCTACTACACAATCATTGAGTGGCCGTACATCGTCGCCCACGGGCTCCATGGCACGGCGTCCATTCAGCTCAGTGGGCCCGGGCGGCAATGGTATGCGAACGTCCATGCGAGATTCCATCGACTCAGGCAAGCCTGCTCGGACAACCCTTCGAGGATCAATGGATTCAAAGCGTCCCAAATCTCCCTCACGGTTCGGCTTCGGCAAAGCTTCCAAAGCTAAGCCAGTAGATTCGAAGCCAGGCTCTCGTTTCACCAGTCGTTTTGGCGATTCCAGTGACGAAGAGGATGGCCGACCAAATCTGGGTAGCCGCTTCGCAGACTCGAGTGACGATGAGCCCGACGAATTTACACCAGTCCGAGGTATACCCAGACGCATTGATGAGGGAGACTCAACCGACCTCGAAGACAGCTCTGTAGAGAATGGAGCCACGCCTTCAAAACCAAAGATGAACGACGCCAAAACTCCCGCGACCATGAAGCCTGAGGGTTTGGCTCTCGCAACTGGCTCATTACGCGCTGCTTCTGGTGATGGGCCCACCACAGTCATGGGTTCCGGCCTCCAAGCCAAGAAGGCCGCCGAAAGAGAGAATAAGAAGCGGTCCTTTTTTGGATCGCTTGGCAGTAAAAAGCGTGATTCATCGAACGTACGCATACCAGATACTGATAGTGCTGCTCGCCGCGACGGCGCTTTGGAGCGCGCAAAAGCAGAGACACAAGTGATAACGCCTTCCAAGGGTGGACGTTTATTAGGACCCAGCTCCCCAAAAGCAGATCCTATCTCTCTACAGCCACCCGCCGTGGCTTCACAGACGAGCACAGCGCAAAGCTCTCCTAAAAGCCCAAAGCTTCAGCGAAGGAACACTCCTAAACGACTTTCCAGCGCCAACGACATCTCTTGGCCGCTGGCGCAAAGTCCGGGGGTCACAACAGGGATCGCGGAGAATCGGCCACAGACTTCTGATGGTCAGCCTAAGCCTATGAACGCTGCGGCGGGCAGACCAGACTTGGGCACGAGAAGGTCGACAGTGCGGGGCGAAGGTGCTAACGTGGCTGGTACGGCTATGCCTGTAGGAGCGACTGGCAAGAAGAAGAGGTTCCAAATGTTGAAAAAGGCGTTTGGGTTGCATGACTGAGACATCTGCCCAATTTTCCAGGTCGACTAGAAAGAACAGGAGAGGAGAGGGGAGGAGAGGAGAGGAGAGGAGAGGAGGAGAGGAGAGGAGAGGAGAGACGAGACGAGAAGAGAAGCGTACAACAACATACGGCTGCTCTTACATGGGATGCATACATGTTCATTTCAGCGGGCGTCGAACTTATCATGCCTGCAGTCTTTCTCTTAAACAATCTCGTGTCTCCGCATGTCCTGTCGCAGAGCAAATGTACATATCTACCCATTGATACTCTACCGAGACCTCTACGTTCCAGGGTTATTCCCCTACTAATTAATACAAGATCTTTAGCCCTCTCAGCCGATTTGGTCTTAAATCCAGCAAAGGACAGCTGTGAGAAGATGTAATGTAGATGAGCAGTGATCTAGTGGATGGTGATCTCTCCAGTGGCCACCACCCATCGGAGCAGGAGATTGCTCTGCCTGCAACACCTTCAATGGTGACAGTAGAAGCAACAACAGTCTCAGACTCGTCAAAGATATTTGTATGCAGTCGTGCTTCGCCTCGAGTCTCAATTGAATGAGGTGGTGATGAAAGTTGGCTTTCAGGAATAATGAAGGAGCGAGGGGGTTGCATTAAGCGTGCTTATTATTAGGGAGCGATTGTTGCTTGGTCAATTTAGCGAGTCAATAAAGGAGTCTAAAAATAGACATTCACGAACTCTGGTTTCAAAGGAGTTTAGTTTAAATATGCGTAAAGCTGAGTGGACTTGCAACCATCAATCCATCATCGTTTTTGATATCTTCGCGTTTTAGGCATCGGATCTGCTTTACCAGCATGGATGCCCTTAATTAAAGATATGTTGGTCCCTTAGCGACCGTCAAATACGAGCCCCGATCCACCGTCTCAAGTCTCGCGGCAGGGTGCCCTTTTTCCCAAGCCATAAGTTCTTCCTCTTCCGACTTTCACTGTCTGAACAGGAGTGTGAAGAACCCTACCTATAACTTTGCTTCCCAAATACCCAACATGTCCCGAGCACCAGATCGCACCTTCTCCTTTGATGACGACGACGAAATAGCTCTCGACGCAAACCGGAGAAACTACCTTTCACAGGACAACAATACCTTCCGAGAAGCGCAGCCTTCCCCTCCTCCAGGCTATACAGACTCTCCGACCAGACTCTACAATGATCGTCCACCTTCACCTCCAGCTCATCGATATACGCCTTACCAACCCCCCCAACCCACCGGCCCTATCGACTCTCAAACGGCCCGCCCTCGGATTGCAGTAAACACTAGACAAGCCCGAGAGGGTGCTTACGGTAGTCGGGACCTGGGTCACTCCGCCTCGAACCGGACCGCATCAACAATAACCCCAGGAGCTGACAACTGGGGGGATAGAGCTGTTGGCGGTGGAATGACAGGTATCGCTTTGGGCGTTGCCAATACGAACGAACGGGAAAGTGGTATAGAAGCATTACGATCGCTGGACGGCACACAACCCGCTAGAGGTCTTCCACCAGAGCGCTACGACACGATGCCGTCAGATACGCCAAATATACCTGCTCCCCTATTCCATAGTCGCGATCCATTCACCTCGCCAGCTCTCTCAGGCAGGTCTAATCCCTTTGAAGATGAAAGAGGTGACATTTCACCTTCACCTGGAGATCTCACTCCTCGGGGCTACCCTTCTACGCACAGTATTCCCATGAGTGAGTATCCTCCACAAGATGTCTACGAAAATGCCCGCAGCTCATACACGGACAATCCTTACAAACGTTTCTCTACCGCCTGGGATGCTCGAGTAGGGCGGGGTGATATTGACCCAAACGAGATTGAAGATGATGGCGATGATTATGGGGCACCACCAATAAAGCCAAGGAGGTCGATGCTAGGTCTCAACGGCGAAGGTGCGGCGACTGCAGCTGGAGGTGCTGCTGCCACCGGAGGAATCTTGGGGGCGCTGGGAGGTCTTGTCGGAAAGACCGCTGCTGGTAGCAACGGGGCACGGGACCCTTCTGGTCAATACGGTGCTGTGCCTGGATCATCCGGACCCGGCGTTGATGACGGCGTTGAGAAGAGCGCTTGGCTCAGCAAGCAGACCTCTGGAAGGAGAAGATTGCAGTGGATTGTGGGCACCATTGTTGTTTTGGCAATTATTGGTGGAATAGTTGGCGGAGTGATTGCTGCGTTGCGCAGCCGCAGTTCTAGCAGCTCTGATAATTCCTCATCCTCCGGCCAATCCTCTGGACCGACCGATAGTGATTTGGATATGAACTCACCAGAGATCAAAAAGCTGATGGATAATTCTAATCTCCACAAGGTCTTCCCAGGAATGGACTACACACCATTCAACGCGCAGTATCCTGCGTGTTTGACCAACCCTCCCAGTCAAGACAATGTCACGATGGACATCGCTGTGCTGTCGCAGCTTACCAACGCCGTTCGATTATATGGAACCGACTGTAACCAGACGCAGATGGTTCTCCATGCCATCGATAAATTATCACTCCCGGATATGAAAGTCTGGTTAGGCGTATGGCTGGACAACAACAGCACAACCAGCAATCGCGGCCTCGATGCTATGTATCAAATCATTTCTCAGTACGGCGCCAGCCCTTTCGCTGGAGTCATCGTTGGGAACGAGGTTCTTTACCGCAAAGACATGACAGAGACACAGCTGAGCGATCTCCTCGGAGGCGTCAAGACGAATTTCACAAATCAAAAAATTGACCTTGATATCGCCACCTCAGATCTGGGTGATAATTGGATCGCGGCCCTTACCGACAACGTTGATTATGTCATGTCGAACATCCATCCGTTCTTTGCAGGTGTTGCGGCGGAAATAGCAGCTGGCTGGACTTGGGATTTCTGGCAGGACTTTGATACAGTCCTGACCAATGGGACGACGAAGCAGAATGTCATCTCTGAGACCGGTTGGCCGAGTGGAGGTGGTACGGATTGTGGAGAGGCCAGTACCTGCGTCAATGGTAGTGTGGCGGGTATTGATGGGATGAACACCTACATGGATACCTTCGTTTGTCAAAGTCTAACCAATAAGACGAACTACTTCTGGTCAGTGCTATCTTCTATCGCTCAAAAATCGCATTCAGCTAATGGCTTTCGATCGTTCTAGGTTCGAAGCTTTCGATGAGCCATGGAAACAGAGTCTCAATACGCCTGGCAAGGAATGGGAAGACAAATGGGGTTTGATGGATCCGGGTCGAAATTTGAAGCCTGGATTGACCATCCCCAATTGTGGAGGCCAGACTGTCACGTAGCTGACTGGCACCATGCAGACCTGACTTCTTGGCGTTTTGAGCATGAAAAAGCATCTGGATGCGCGATGGGAGGTCGATTGTACATTTGCACGTTGCATCGAAGCGCTCATGGCTATGAGGGATCTCCAGATATTCGGGTAGCTTGGGAAAATTTCTGTACGTATTGAGTCTCGTGCTTGGAGACTTGTAAGTGTAGATACAAAAGAAGTTATCATTTGCATAGCATAGCACAGCATAGCATAGTACAGCATTAGCGCTCTGCCATCTACATCAACCGGACGGCTTCCTCAATCTTACTCTTGCACGAATCGCCTTTCTCTGACTTCACCCAGTAAATGCATGTGGACTCGCACCAAGGAGTTCTGTCAAAGTCGGGCATAGGCCTCGAACGAGTCTTTCCTAAAAAGTCGTGGAAGATCTGACGTGACCCTTTCTTCGTGCTCTCCGCCAGAGACGACAACAAGCTGGATATTTTAATAAGTCAACATTTCCAATACCGCCGCACGAGACGAGACTCTGTGGCATCGGGGATCGCTTACCCTTCAACATACATCTGCGGATCGGAGCCAACGGACAATACGGGCGTCGCGGTCTCCAAAGCGGTAGCGTAGTGGAAACATTCAAGGTGGGGCGCAAAGAGAAACGTTGTGCTGTTGAGCTTGGAAAAGGCGTCAGGGCTTTGGACGACGGTGTAGCCAAGACTTTCCAGAATGGTGTGGTCGAGCGCGTTGAAGACGGGGTCTTGAAAGACGATGTCCTGGATGTGGTGTTCCTTGCCTGTAGATCTGAATCAGCTGGGCCCGGTGGGAGATACTGCGTTCCATGTTTGGGGCACCAGGACCTAGCATCTCGAGGATGGAAATCAAAGCCGCAAGCTCATAAGACGAACTCTCCGACCCAGCCGTCATGCTCCCCAAGCCCAGACAGACGCACTGTGTAATCAGGATGTTCTCCGCAGGTAGTATGTCTTGCTCGAACATACGTGACAAGCTCTTGAAACAATCCGATCCTTGCCAGATGGGAGCATAGTGCTTCCGGAATCGGTCTAGATATGTCTCCAGGGTATACTTCGTTCCCGTGGATTTTCCATCTTCGAGACGTATGCCAGTAGTCCCGGCATTGACAGTGCCTGGAGGGCCTTTGATGACGTGGGTCCAGCCTGAAGAGTCGGTGATTTGCTGAAGTTTGCGCTGAGGCGGTGGCTTTTTGCGGCGAGTCATGGTGTCTGGTTTGTTCCCGATGCTTCGACAAAGGATTCTTCTGCGTTGAGAGGACGGGAACCAAATGAAGTGGATGCTTCCCACAGCTAGGTCGAGTGTCACTGAAAGGAGATGACTGCATGGCCGATAGTATTTGCATTTCGCCTCTTGGTTCGATTCTGATCAGCAGTAGTCCTCTCATGGCAATCCATGCTTGGTCGAGCTACGCTGCTGATATCCAAGGTACTCGGATGCAAATAGTCTTCTAGTTTGGGAGTGGTGATGTTTAATTCACTGTGAACAGCCTTGGGCAGCGCCAAAGCAGCCGAAATCCTTGCCGGGCTTCGTCTTGTCCAGCTCAGCTGAAAGGCTTTGATGCATCAACGAGATTGACAGGCGTATGCTACACCTTCCTGAAGCACTACTCTTCTCACCAAAGTCGACCAGGTTTCACTCAACTTTCTATCTTACAGTGGATGTTAAGCATCACGGGTGAGCGGGCAAAAGTCCAACATTGAAACTGGGGCAGCTAAAGAGCTACAGGTAAGAGCATGTGGCCGAGGAATACCTTAATAATAATACGCGAGTCGCAACGATTTTAGAGAATGAATGTCTGGCGTACTCATGGGCTCTGATCTGAATGCTGAAAAGAAGAGATTTGGAATACGTATATAAGGCGATTGGACTATGGAATAAGCCCAAGGTTACTCAGTACACTACTGGATGGCACGATGGTACCCTAAACAAAGTGTTTTGAAGCCCTGGACTCGGAATCCGGCGTCTTGTACTACTCTAGGTTGATGGGTAGTACGCTCGGCTGATATGCCATGATGAACTGTAAAGTACGGTATGATGATCTGCCACTACTGTCGTATCCCGCCTGAAAACACCTCTTTTCCAACTTCCCCCCCATACCACCATTGGTTCAATTCTATCCCCACACTCCCTGAAAATGATGCTATAGAAAATAAGAAGCACCGCAACACCATTGTACCAGCGCCATTAGGAATTGAATCTAATACGAACTAAATACCCCCAACAACACGACCACAACCAACAGGCGTCCGCCCCCGGACGGTAAGCCAACCAACGAACATTTTCCGGGCATGAAAGCACCGGGGGAATTCGAACCAACGGCTGTTCCCGGTTAAGAACTTTAAACCCTGAGGCTCATGGCGCTGCCAGAAAATAAGAAGCACCGCAACACCATTGTACGAGTACCAGCGCCATTAGGATTCGAACCTAATACGAACTAGATACCCCCAACAACAGCTATGACACACGGCATGTACCTAATCATCTAATCGAGTACTGATATATTAAAAGAAGCCCATGGCGGCTCCCGCAGTCGACACGAGGGTGAGGGGAGAACCGTGTGCCTCAACGACATCTGCGACATCCCGCCATCAACCGCCATGTTCATCATCTGAAAAATTCATCTTACCTACTTTCAATCCCCAAATAACATGGAAACACCCGTTGGCAACGAGGCCGGACCTCCAACCACAGATCAAGACGTAACTCCAGCCTTCCTGGCGCAGAGCCTTCAACCAAACATCTATGCAGCGTGCATCGTTGTCACTCTAGCCGCGACGAGTGCAGTTGCGCTTCGCTTACTATGTAGGCGACTCGCTAAGGCGTACCTGTGGTGGGATGATTGGATGATTGTTGCAGCATTGGTGAGTGTAAAGTGCCGTGGAGAATGGATGACTGCTCTGACCGAGTATGAAGATCGTTGAGTGGGGTCTGTCCGCCTTGCTTTTATACCAAACTGCCGCCCTGAACTTCGGGAGACGCGAGGAAGTACTGAAGCCATGGCAATCCACCTCTTTTGCAAAGGTGAGTTTTTTTACGATGAGACCAATCGTCCCGCAGGATATCGTATTGACAAGGAGCAGAGCTTAATTGCCACTCAAACCATTTACTTTTGCGCGCAAGCGCTCGTGAAAGTCTCGATTCTGCTATTGTACCACCGCCTCTTCGGAGTCGTCGAATGGTTCCGAATCGCACTTTGTGTGGCTGGTGCGTTGACCATCATGTGGTGGATCGCTGCAATCCTGGACTCGATATTCCAATGTGTACCCGTACAAGCCATCTGGGACAAAAGCATAAGGGATCCCAAATGCCAGGATGTTAGAGCCTCTGCGCTGGGCACCGGGATCTCGAACATGATCCTCGATATCATGTTCTTGATCATTCCGCTTCCAATGATATGGAAGCTTCAAGTCACCAGAAAGATCAAGATTTCTTTGACGGGTATCTTCCTTCTTGGAGCTTTGTATGTCTCTCGAAGCCGTTTCAATGGCTCCTTTTTCGCAGGAACGTTCAACTGACTTGTTTAACCTAGTGTCTGCGCCACCTGTACGTATCTTCGGAGCTCATGTTTCTTATCTTGAACCAGATCTTGAGTCCTGGGACATGTCTTGGAAGATTTTGCTCTCGAAATATGTTTTAGGCTCACTGTCTCCCCGTTGAATAGGCAGTACTAACGGTGAAATTTTAACCCAGCCGCTGTCCGCATACACGCAATATACAAGACAGACTGGACCTTGACAGATCCAAGTTGGACTGGCTTCGGCTTAGGGGTCTGGAGCACGGTAGAGTCATGCTGTTCGGTCATAGCAGCTTGCCTACCAACGATGAGGCCTCTTCTTACCCGCGCCCAAGCTCATACGTCACATGCGAAAAGTACGAGCACCAAGTCATTAAGGACCCTCAACTTCGTTAGCAGCGGCAGCAAAGGGGGTCCTCTTTCCCCAATTTGGAGCCCACCTTCGCCGTCATCTCCAAGGAAAGCTCCATATCAGAGTCTGGACGAGTACTTGCCTGATCTGGAGAACGGAGATAGCTCATTCGGGATGAAGAAATCGCCTCGGACATGGCAGAACGCGAGGTTCGATTCACATGCGACGTACGCAAATCCTTCACCGGGCTTTGGACAAGACCGGCCATTTCATTCGACACTGAGGTCGGAGGAGTTCGGGAAAGAAAACCCTCCATTGTCTTTGCTGGAGCCCAGATACGTTGGGCCAGCGAGATTTGGACGCGGTGGTGCGTGTCTGCATGAGCATGACGGTGTTTAGGGTCGGACATTCTGGGGAAGGGTGCATGAAACCTCATTGATAATGCATACTCTATGACTAGTCCTTGAACGCCAGTCTTTTGTAGCAAGCAGCGTTATGTTACTGTATATCTGATAACTTCTTGGCCATGTGTACAAGTATATACTTTTGATATGTTCATGCGGGGAACAAACACAAGGCTCGGCCCATTAGACGGATTAAAGTGGGGGGTGCCAAGGCGGGAACATGGAGCATCACGCCGTTGAAAAGAGTTGTTGTCGATGCAAGGTGAGCACAAGTACGAGTAGGTAGTATGAAAGTGCTCCCAGTCAACTCCATTATGATATGTCGATTCTTTGTTGCAATCTGCATACATGTAGTCTTACTCAACCAGGGGTCTTGCAATTTTACCGTACGGTACCTTAGAGGCCCCCGAAGCTATGCTCAGTATGGTAAGGTATTGCCGCCGAGGGCTTGTTAGCGTGACATATTGCAGCTGGTATCGTTGCAGTCATTGGTTGAAGAGTGATCTCTCTGCATGCAGAGTGCTGACAAGCTCTTCTCCAACCGCCGACCACATCCCTTTTCCCCAATCAGCGGCTGCTCTCAGTCCCTTTCAGTGCTAAGTGCTAGGTATCATGCTCTGGTCGCTCGGAAGGTGGGGGATCTATCCAACTGTTCAGCGACACTGGCGCGGCTACAGCTTCAGGTGTGTGTGAGGAAGAGAAAAAAAGCACAGCACTACGTTGCCTCCCTGCTCTGTCCCTCCATCTATTCTTACATATCCTTCAAGGCTTCGCTATCGCCCAAGCACGTTTCACCAATTTCCCTCTCCCCTCAAAGACTGAATAGCTCTGCTGACGGGGATTGAGACTACCTTCCGCTACCTACCACAACCTTCATAATGCTTAGATCACACTCACTGCTCCTCGTCGCGACAACATGTCTCTCCCTAATTTTCACCCTCGTATCCTCACACACAGTCATCACATATCCTGGCATGCGCGGCGATAACCTGCATACAACTGGCAATATTACTGGGCTCAACGGCAGCGACATAGTCGGCACCAATGGTCTCGGCGTTGGCAACGACAATACATATCCCTATGGCATGCAATGGATCTACCCATGTACGCTCAGTAATTCCATCTGTTTGTGGACTGCTTGATGCTAATAGCTCCCCAGGCGGCGGCATGCCCATGTCTACCAACAGAACAAACTGGCCTGTAACAGGCGGCGCTATCGGTATTCAGCCCGGCTGGTTCCAGGGCCACAACTATGCCCTGTTCTACATCAATCTCGGCGATGGCACAGTGCCTGAAAACTATTCCCTGATTATGCAACCGGTATTTGGCATCGTTGGGCCAGACAACCTTGCGTACAACGGATCGTTTTGCCTGCCCCAGGTGCCGCTGCCCGCAAATTACACAGCGGTGGTAGGGACCAATGCGACTATTCAGATCATTGAGGCGGCGCAGCACGGAGCGGCCCTGTTCAATGTGAGTCGTTAGGAGCTTTCTGACCACTCTTGAATGTGAAGGCTTTCAGAGCGGGCTGCTGACAGTGTGGGAATACAGTGTGTTGATATCACATTCGCGGACCCTAAAGATGTGCCGGAGGTCACGCCCGATAATTGTGCGAATACTTCAGACATCACTCTCCAATACGTCTACAGTACCAACAGTCAGACATCGGATGCCGAGGTTCTCTGCTCGAGCAAAGTCACCTGGATGGCTTCTATACCTCTTGCCCTGATGGTAATGTGGGGGCTGCTATAGACGGCGAGGACTATCAACAGACATGACGAGTAACACATCTGGAGATTGCATACTATGTTTAGGGCTATGTGGAGTAGAGATTCATGGTGGCAGGCTTCGTTAAAGTTTGTTATCTTGGTTGAGTCGTTGATTGGAAGCGAGGCTTCCTATCCTTTGGCTGAAAGGGACTGCATGGCCGGTGTTTGGTTCCTCTGGAGAGGCGTTGGTTAAGGGTTGATGATGGAGTACCATCTCTGAACGATTATCATTAACACGCCATGGACAATCTATACCACTTAGAAATGATGCTAATATGTATCCTATCTCACAACAGACTTTTCAAAACTTGGGCCTCTATCGACATGGACTTCGAAATCATGCTTTTCCTGCCCCAAGTGATCAAGCTTTCTCCTAACTCCTTAACGCAGATCTCACTTTTCACATCCGGCTTCTCTTACTCACTCCATCAGTCCCCTCCACCCTCTTACAACTCGCCCTCCCTGAGATCCACTCCTTCGCACTGAGCCCCTCCTCCGCCTGCGCCTCCCCCTCCCACTCCGCCAACGCCGGTATCACATCACCGCCCTCCAACCTCTTCAACCCGGCCTCGCAAAGCATGCAAGACCACATCTCGTGTGACTAGCCTGCGCACCCGGTGGGGATACGACCCGACGGATGTGCGAGCGCAAGACACCGTTGGTGAATTCCACCACGGCAACCCCCCCTCCCCCCCCCAACGTTGACAACAGCGTGGGTCGGGCAGAGTCGGCGCCGTCGCCCCCGGCGGGAGTACTTGCGGACCGGCCTCCGAGGCGGTCGGAGAGGACGGTGACGGAACCGACGTCGGTGTCTTCGCCCGACGCCGTTCGACCAGCGTCCACGGGCTGCGGAGGAGCCTCGACGCAGCGGGCGTGTTCGCCCGGGCCCCGTTGTCCGACCGAGGCGGATTGGGCGGTGCGGGCGGTGGGGAGACGCAGGTGCGTGGGTAGATGTGTGGGGGGGAGAAGCGAGACGATGGAGTGGGGTGGGCACGTGAAGGGTTCCGTGCAGGTTTCGACGGGCTGAGAGGATGTTCGGAGAGAGAGGGGGGAGGGGGAAGGGGAGGGGATGGCTTCTTTGGAGTCGTTGTAGGATCCGTTGCGGTCGAGGCTGCCCGTTTTGAATCAATGACGGAGGTGCGGGAGCTTTTGTAGCTGCTCTTCATTCATTCGTGCTTGGCCGGAACAGGGTCTCTGATGAGAATGTTTACCCCACGTATGTATGACCTTTGAGCGCTGAGGTTGGATTTCTGCTTTTCTTCCGAAAGTCAATCGTAGAGCTGCTTCCCAACATCAAAGAGCTTGTCTGCGTTGTTGAGCATGGATTGACCTTGTAGGGCGCCACGGAGGTCGAGGTACGAAAAGCCCGAGTCTTTGTGGGCAGTAAAGAAGTGACCCGATTCGTCTTGGTCCTTGTTCAGGAGCTTGTTCAGAGAGATTCGCAGCAAGGGTGCTGTTGGGACATCATTAGGGAACGGGGGCGTTGGGGCGAAGTCTTTGCAGGCTGAGTCTGGGACTTCCATGGTCTGCAACAATCGAGAGTCGTAAAGATGAAAGATTGTAATGGTATGGAGAACGAAAGGGAGCTGTATGTGTCTTTGCAACAGGAATCGAATCGATCTTCGTTCTGGTGTCTAGGCTTGCCTCGGCTTCCAATTATGAGTACCGTCTTGTACAAATCCGTTCGAGAGGAGTTGAGGGTAAGAAAGGGGAAGCAACATGCAGGCCGGACTGGGTGTGACAAGCTTCAAGTAAAACAGAGTGAAAAAAAAGTAGCAAACCTAAGCGGCAAGAGGCCTCGTTGGTTGAAGGCCTCGTCGTTTGAAAGCACTGTAGATCTGACACATTTTCCATTTCTCTTCATGTAATGTAATGCACCTATGTAATGCTCCTCCTATTTTCAATCTGTACCCAAAGTGATGACAATTGATGAAGAAAGGAAGTTGACACACGCCAACAGTATGGCTCTGCCTTTTCCGTTATGCCACAGTATTATAGATACATGAGCTGTGTCTGCTTTAAGTATTGACCGTAGAGCTTGAAGGAGGTCCACAATAGCCAAAGTTCTCCCTATTCAAACCTTTCGGAAGACGCAGCAGGCGCTGTTCACGATCAGCATTGATGCTTCATTGATTTTGCTCGGGTCATACCTGTTCCTGATTCACAGTCTCGAGCCATGGATCACCTTGTAGTCCACAGCGAGCTCACGACCTCCATCATTGATGACTAATACACGAACACTGCCACGACCGTTGGCGAACGAGTCGTTGAGTCTCGACCACAATCCACCCTGATCAATGACTGGAAGACCTTGCTTCACATCGCCAGTCTCGGTCATGGCAACAACGCGGCCGTCATCGCGAATGTCAAGGACGCGGTACTGCTTGAAAACGGGGCCGAGCATATTCTGGACGATGACCGAGGGGGAAGGATTGGAGACGAAGCTTGATTCTTCGTGGAGTTGCTTGGTGAAGAGGTCAACTCCTAGGTAGCGGTGCTGACCGGTCTGAGCAGAGGTGGTAATCCGGATGACCTGACAGGGACGACCTTGGAGGATCAGCAGATCGCCAATGCGGATGTGATGGCAGGGGATGGTAATGGTGTCAGCCACCCCGCCACGACGCTCAACATAGCGAACAGTCTCATGGACTCCATCACGGACACGGGTAGGGCCTCGCTCTCGATCCTCCTTCTCGATAATCACCTCCTCACGCTCGTGCTGTGGATGGAAAGGGTGAAATACACGGTCAGCGGCATGCTCAAGGCCGCGACGGATAGAGTGGTAGCGCCCTTCGTCGTCGTAGTAACCCATATCTGGACGATGCGGTGGCTCTACGATTGTTTCGGCTTCGATTCGTTCCTCTCGAGGTCCGGTATGACGACGCTCGAATTCAACGTCGTAATTGGGGTGAAGGCGTCGTCGATAATCACGTTCCGTGATGTCGATCTCTTCTTCGCGGCGGTGGTGGTGAGGAACTTCGATGTCGACCTTTGTATCAGTATAGCGGCGGTCTGAATCTCGGGGGCTGCAAGAAATGTAGGTATTAGTGTTCTGTCGTCGAAGAGGCTATGAACTTAGGAGAGACCGGGGAGCAGGGTTAGGCTTACAGATCTCTTCTAACTTCTATGTCTGGGTGATTGTGATGGCGCTGGTGGTGATCTCTGGTGATCTCTACTTCTGCGTGATCGTGATCGCGGTGATTTCGGTCTGAGCGGTATCGGTCTTCCTCTGCGTAGACAGTAACGTCGTCTTCTTTGCGGCGCGGACGGCGTTCACGGTCCTCTCCGTAGACCTTGACCTCTTCCTCGTCGTATCGAGTACGATCTTTGCGGCCTGGAAGAGAGGCAGAGTAAGAAGAGTACTTGGTTTCGTGACCTTCCCGTCCGACGCGCTGGTTGGTCTCTCTTTCTACCTTGACGCGAGTAGTGTCTACAGCAGCGTCGCTCCGGTACGACGACGGGAAGACACTGAAAGGGATCGGGACTCTGGCGTCAAAGTCCAGTTTGACGAGAGTGGAGGAGTCTTTTCTCGAATGCCTTCCGAGCCGTTATGAGTAACGAATCGAAAGGAAGACAAGAAGAGACTCTTGCTTCAGGTTAGGGGGGGGGGGGGTGTGGAGAAGTAAGAGATGAAGGTGTAGTTTGGCGACTTGCCAGCAACACGCTTCGATCTCGTGACTGTCAAATGAGTGATGCGTTGATGTTTCTGGTTCTATTGCTGATTTTGGGGAGCTTCAGAGTATGAAGTTTTGGATGATTGAAATTTTGGTGAGGATGGTAAGATTGAAGAAAAACATGGCTCACAAGTTGGGGGATTTGTTGTTGACCCAGGGTCTGTCTTGGCGGGCGTTGCTGGGCAAGAAAGCAGCGCGCTAAGAGACGCCTCTTTTCCAAAGTCACTCCCTTGCATTCTGCAAGTCACTAGTTTTAGAGCGATGAATAACGTAACTTACGGTACTTCAAAAGATGTCGAGAGAAATATCCTCTGCTTTCTTCCACAGTACTCTACAACCCTTCTATTGCAGTACCGTTTTCCATAATTCTTATACTCTATTTCTACGAGCATTGTCCGTTGTCATGGGATAAATTCGTTATCCCGCCTGCGCCAGTGTGTCTTCTTCCCACCTATCGCGTCATTGCTCCCTTCTGCATCTGTTTTCGTGGCTGCTTGCCATTGGATTCTTTCTTCTCGTCTTTCGAATTCTAGACCTTGGGTCGCCCTGCAGCCAGCAGAATCCCGACCTATGACTGAGTAGCGGAGTGACTTCCTTACCCTGCATTGATCTTCCTGCTCATTATGCATGTGCAGAAGACGGAGATTATTCCTAGTTCTTCATCTGGTGACTGTATATGTACTTCTAATCCTCCAAATTATTCGTTACTCTCAAGGGAGCCCCTCTTCGTGATAAGAGCTTTGACAGCAGACCGCTAGGCCATCGAAATCGCACCATGATGGATGATCCCCCTGCAAATAAGGTCTCGCGCGTCCTCCTTGTAGACACAACTTTAGCTTCTTCCGCAGTCTCTGGAACGTTCCTTGCCCCACCGAGAGAGCCATGTCGTCTTGATACTGACACTTTCTCTAGCTTCGGGCCACGCTCTTGAGGCATTTGCCCATTCAAATGATCCGGATTTAATAAGCTGCTTGGCTTCAATGGTCAAGCTTCAATGCACCTGTCTATTCTTATTCAGCAGCCCACCTGGAAACAGCAAGATTGACCTGCAAACAGAGGTTGGAGGTGACCAGGCTGAGAGCCGAACCTTCCGATCGTTTCCAAAGCGCCATTGTACTGTACAAATAACCACAAGCCGGTACAAAGTGGAATGCTATCGTAGGCTCGACTTTACAGTGCAATCTCTGGTGCCCAATTCTACGGATTCAAACATGGTAGACCTTCTTCATGGAATAATCCAAACTGCATGCGCCACATTCTCTACGTCGAAATCCGAAGATCGACGAGAGGATCATATATCGGGTCCGATCTACAACATTGCGGGCTCTCACGTGCGGTTTGGCACTGTTGGAACACAACATTGCTGCCCAATGGAACAAAGTAAAGGTTCGGCTCGAGCTTCGGATGGAAGTGTGAGGGTGAAATGTCCCGCCATGGCCGTTGAGCGTTGCTCAAACGCAGATTGAACGGCTCTCTCTGAACGGGGACAGAGGCCAAGCCAATTCATATCGTCAGAGCGTGACCATACTGAGTGAGGCATGCCGTAAGGATTCTCTTTTTAGAGGCATGTTCATCACACATAAAAATGTACATGGAGTAAGCGGAGGTCATAAACGATCACGGTGCAAAAGACCGCCCTGGAGTACTTTGTTGTTGTAGACTCGGTAAGCTCGGAAGCCGGAACTTCAGAGACTTGCTGCCCGGTGGCCCTGCGTCATTCTTTACAATAAGGTAAACTTAGCCGAACTCTCTTTATCATATGTCTTCTCACCTTCTCTAACTCGGGCACATAAAATCTTCCATATCCACCTTCATAAAACTTTCACCAACACTTCTCATCCTTCACTGAATCCCATAACGACTTGGATATAACCCAAGGCGAACACTTCCAACGTTGCAAGGTCGACATACTCTTGGCCCTCCCGTGCTTCAGCGGCGCATCCCTGCATGCAGCATTAGCGGACTTCAGCCCTCAGCGCTGGTAACATATGGGTTCATGGTTGGATCAAATTTGAAGATAAAAAGAGTTTCTACGAGCTGCGACTTTTGATTTTCCAGCTCCTTCTTGTGCTCCCACTCCTTGAAGTGAAGCCAAATTACATACAGTCCATAGGGAAACAATGAGTTCCGGGTACGGTCGGGCAGGCTCACCACCCAGGAATCGCTATGCTCCACCTGGTCGCACGTCCGCCAGCAGCTTCTTTTCCCCTTCCTCCTTTGATACCTATCCGCCATCTACTCGCTCCACTAGGGACTACCCACCTGGGTCCCGCATCAGTGTAGAGCGTGTAGATGCACCAAGAGTCCTTCCCCTTCGGACCCGCAGCCCTCCACGACGTGCTGCCGAGGACGATTACACCGTCCGCCCTCGTCCTCGAGGCACAATACTCGAGGCTCCAAGGATTCGAAGACCTGTGGGCGTAGTAGTTCCGAGTTCTCCCGCTCGGAGCTCTAGGCCAATCATCACAAGCGCGATCGACAGACCTCCAAGCCCTGTGACAGCAACGCGCAGAGACCGTCGAGATGACGATTACGAACTCTTACCTGCTTCTTCCTCCACAAGACGGCACCATCAGCGTCACTCTTCATTAGGTACTACAGACTCAGGCCGGCTAATGCCTGCAGACAGAGATCCAAGGGAAAAGATCTATCTGAAGTCCAATCTGGCTCGACCATCGGTCAGAGAACGCCATGACGAAAACGATCGAGACTTTGGGTTTGACAACACGGAAGCGGCTCGAGAGCCAAGGTATCAGGACTCTTATCGACAGAGATCTAGGAGAGACAGCCACAATAGTGGCCGCCCAACGAGCATGGTCATACCTGAAGATTATATTCCACGATCAAATAGGGAACCTGGTCCACCTGTATCTACAAGGGGATTTGAGAATATTGGAAGATCTCAGAGCCTTAGACAAGGTTATCATGCTAAAAACGAAGATCGGGCTCTTAGGGATTATGGGCGCGATGACCGCGAAATCAGCTATCATCCCAAACCCTCTCGCCCAGAGATTGCCCTGCACCAGCCGTCCAACGGTGCATACGCTCCATATCCGGAAGAAGAATCACGAAGGCGGCTTCGCAAGCCTGGCCCTGAAGAAGATGTACTGGAGCTACTACCGAAAACCCGCAAGCCTGCGCCTGAGGATGAGACTTTGGACTTGAGTGCGAAATCTCGCAAAGTTATACCCGAGGATGATGCGCTGGAGCCGCGACCAAAGCCTCGTAAAACCATACGAGAGGAGGAGCGACAGGAGCCAAGAATTCGCGACCCTCGCGATGAAGAGAACGACCAATCGCGACCAAAGTCTCGTAAACCGATATTGGAGGACCAGCGACTGGAACCAAGGATTAGAGACCCTCGCGATGATGACCATGAACGGGACGGTGATGATCGCCCTAGGAAACATCGTCATAGGCGCCATCACAGAGACCATGACAACCGCAGAGATTATGATGACAGAGACGATAGAAATCCGAGAGCGCGTGATGACTTCCGGGAAAAGCTAGACAGAGCCGAGGATAGAGGCCCAAGCAATGGCTTGCTCGCTGGGGCTGGAGCTGCGGCCGCCGCTGCGGGATTAGCTACTGAAGGAGTACGACGGCACCAGAACAAAGAGTCTCGAGATGAAGAAAGCCTACCGGCGAAACAATACCAGGACCATCTGCGAGAACCTGAGCGTGATCACTTGGATACAAGCTCTGTGAGCAGTGGTCTCAGTGGTGATACTCAGGAAAACAAGGAGGAAAGGAAGAGACGCAAGAGGCTTGAGAAGGAAGAAGAGGACCGTTTGTATGAAGAAGCAAGAGCTGAGGAGCGCCGTGCAAAAGAGAATGCTGAGTTGTTCGTCGGTCCCGTGGAGCCTGTGCTTCGCGAGCAAGCCTCGTACGAACGCCGCCCCGAGGATCGAGCACCCAGACACCACCGCAGCTACACGCCTCGCCGTCACCACTCCCGTACGCGCGATGACGATTCCTACACAGAATCCTCGTTCTCCTCCTCGAGCGACAGCGAAGACGACAGGATCGAGCGCCAGCCCCATGTCGTCACTCCCTCTAACGAAGAAAAACCGGCGCTTCCACCGGCTCCCAAGGGCATTCTCCGTAAACCCCGCGAAAAGTTCCCCGAGCACCCCGACACAGTCCGCGAAGGTGTTGCACCGCACAAGGAAATGCCCAAGAAAGACGTACCGCCCAATGCGCGTTGGACGAAGATCAACCGGAAGCTAGTGAATCCAGAAGCTCTAGAGCAGGATGGGATCAGATTTAACGAATATGTGGATCATGTCATTGTGCTGAAGGCGATGGATTTGGAGGAGATCGAGAAATACACGCGGAAGACAGCGGAGATCAGAGAGAAGAGACGATTGTTGATGGGGCCCGAGCCGCCTAAGCCTATCGAACCATTCTGAGGATAGAGAGAAAAGGAGAGAGATTGACAGGACCTCGTTGGGGCTGGGACCAGGTTTCGCAAGGAGTGCTGAATTGGATCGTATAGCCTGGACAGGAAAGATACGTGGAGATTGTGCAAGATGCAAGGCGTGCGTTCTGAAACCCCTCTTTCTGTTGTATGCGAGTACTTTGCTGTTTGAAATGGCTTGAGAAAGCTAGTCGAGATGAATCATACGCATGCAACGAAGCAAAGAACCAAACAAAGATATACTGCAACAGTCGACGGTGAATGTCGTCTTGTTTTTACAAGCTTGATGATACTAACAATAAAGGTACAACCGGCGAGCTGAAGTTCTCAGCATCGATTCTAGCTAGCTGCTGTGGGAACTGGCGAGTACGTATGCTTCCTGAACCGAACCATATTTCTCTTCGCAACGATTCCAACCATGTGGGTATTTCTCTCGCGTTGCCTTGGTCTCGGGGCAATCTCGCTTCGCCCTTCCCTTTATACAATGGCCGACCCTTTGTACATGGAAAATTCTCGTACTGTGCACCAGGCAGCCGACATCCATCTCTGTCCTATGGTGGCACATTCCGCTCCATCGTGAGAAGCGTACAATGTTGGTAAAGCACAAGTCATGAATCGAATGTGTCCGAGCAGCGAGTAGTCCCAGCTGAGCAACGAATTCAAGGCGTGTCAGCCCTCTTTGCCCCTCTGGCCCTTTTACTCTTCCTCTCCACCCACATCTTCTTCCCAGTCCGCGTCTCAAGATGTGGCGCCACGGTCGAAACTTCCTGGCCTCCGGCAGCGATGGTACTGCCGACCTTGTTTCTATACGCGTCCACTGCACCCTCCGTTAGTATCCCATGCTTGCTCATACCCCGTACCATGAGCTTATTCAGGCTGAGGAGAAGCAGGCAACTCACAGCTCTTCTGCAGGAATACCACCCTCCCCGCAAACGTCCTACTCTGACTCCAACTGATTCGATACCCCAATTCATTCAACTTCTCCTCCCTCTCCTTGGCCCTCCTCCCCAAACCCGGAACTTTCAGCGTCCCCTCCCTCCTTTCCACCATCGGCACGGGAACAGTCACCCTTCCCACTTGCATCCCCCGACCCATCTCCGGAACACCTAAGCCGTCGCCCTGACCTTCGCCTCCATCTTCTGCATCATCCTCAACAAACCTGATCCTGCGGGCCCTCTTGGCGCGGGGACTCGGAGGCATTTCCGTTGGGTACCAACTGCGCGGGTAGACAGAATTGTCCCATCGGTAAGAGTCAGGGAGCTCAGCGATCTCTACAGATTCGAGGTTGACCTTGACGCGCACGCGGGTTTTGCGTACGGTGTCATCGACGAGGATAAATTTGCGGCGCTTGGCTTCGGGCAGGTCGCTGAAAACGGAGCTGTGCTTTTTCTCGGGAGATGGCGATGACTTTTCGATTTTGGTGGCTGCGGTGGGAATGGAAGAGGAGGTTGAGATGGCATGATTGGGCATGGAGTGATCGAGGCCGTTGGAGAGGTGAGGAGGCATGGAGGCGGCCGAAGCTGGATGTTGAGGGTAGGCTTGATAGCCGTGGAAGACATTGGATGGACGGATCGAGGCGGGTAAAGATTTGGGAGCTTGCTGATGTGGTGGTTGGGGATCGAAGTCACCATTCACTATTAGTGTGGGAATTTCATGAGAGTCAGCCTACGTTCAGGTATGTAATTTGGTTTTGTTGGCTGCATCGCTGCAGGCGTCATGAAGTAGCATACAAGAATGTTAAATGACCGCAGCAGCCAAGCTGCCTTGGCAATGTACATAACCATGAACTTGGTCCAGCCAAAAAGGTCGCACGTAGTCATCATGACAACTGGTGAAACATACCGCTGACATCATCTGTGCTGCCCGTTGTGCTTCCATCAGGGTGCGCGTGGTGATGGTGTAGCTGCGCCGGCCCTGCCATGCTGATATTCGCTGGAGGCGGTCTTTGAACGGGCGCCGCCATAGGATTCGTACTAGGTGGTTGTCCTCCAACGTCACGTGGACCAGCCAGGTGATTATTTGTGTGATTTGCATTCTTTCGTGTGTTGATTTTAGCCATCCGTCTCACTCGTCTACTACGTAATCGAGGGTCTTGATTGCTGTTCCTCCAACTGTCCACGGCTCTCTGAATTAGACCTCTCTTTGCGCGAAGGCACGGATTTAACTCGGCCAGTGCCCAGCCGACTGTATTGCACTCATTCTCGTATTGAAGGCGATTGCCTTTGTAGCTATCCTTGGCGCAGCACGCCCGTGGATAAACGCAATTCTCGTTTCTGAAATCCTGTGGAAGGCTATCCGTATTGACCGACTCCACATCACATCTAATAGTGTATTCCATCTTGACTCGGTCGCGCGAGTATTCGAAAGCAATCCATTGAACGCCGTTGTTGTCTTGGCGCACAACGAGAGGAGTGGTTGCTGGTATAGGCCCCGGTGCGGAATTAGGATTTACTCCCCCTCCTCCACTTTGACCTGGATGCAATCCATTTCCGTTCTGAGACGGGCCCGTAGGCGCATTGTGATTGGAGGCCATCGGCCCGGTTGGAGATCTCTGCAGGCTGGCCGGATCCATCTGCCTCGGTATACCAGGCTCGAGTTTTGTTTGAGGTCGGGGACTGTTCGTTATCCCTGGTTGCTGAGCGGAGGGTTGGTGCGCCATGGGAGCCTGGGCTTGTTGATGTGGAAGAAGAGGTTGAGAGGCCATCATGTGATGTTGCTGCTGTTGTTGCTGCCCGGGGTGTTGCGGGTATGAAGACGGTTGCACTTGATATTGAGGGTAGCCGTACACCTGTTGCATCTGCGCGGGGGCTTGGGCGTACATACGTCCATGCTGATCATGACTTTGTGATGACGCGACTGATGCTGGAGAATTGGATTGTGGAGTATGGTAGACTGGTTGTTGGTATGGTCTTTGCTGCATGTGGGCAGCCGCCATTAGATCGGGTGCTTCTGGTAAACTTGGTCAGTGTTTCCAGTCTTGGTGAATGAAAAAGTTCCCTCTGGTTCTCGCTGGCATAAAACGCGTACCTGCGGAAGAAAAGTGCCCTGATACAGGCGTTCCGTAGGGACTTGGTGCGTAATATACTTCTGGAGGAGCGTGACCGTTGGTGCCAGGGACTGGCTGGGAGTAGGGAGACTGGTGCTGGAGTGGTAGACCGTGGTTCGAAGAGTGTGGAGAGGGAAATGAGTTGGCGTGTTGATTTTGGTGTGGAGAGTCGGGATGCGGCTGTTGATGAGCAATGTTTGTGGATCGTGAATGTTGCAGGTGCTGTGGACCAGGGCCTTGCTGGACCGGAAGAGGATGATGCTGGTAGCATAGAACAGACGAATTAGCTTCACATTCTGCGCTAATAGACCTTTGAAGCAAGCGCAAGCAAGGGCCGACTGAAGGCAGGACGTATAATGGAAGCGTTGATGTAGCGATATTGGAAATCGGCAATCATTCATCCACGTGAAGCTAGGACAGGGGACGCTTATGGTGGACAAGGAGGATCCATCATATAAGCTGGGGAGCATTTACAGGATGATGCTAGTTCAGTTGTCGATGCAATCGACGACACCACAGCCTGAATGGTTGAACAAGGTAATGCTAAAGGAATGAGCAGTTGGACGAGAAAGAGAGCGAAAGCGAAGTGGGCAAGGAGGAAGCGATGGCAAGGAGGGTGATTTGACAGGCGTTGAGGCAGATGATGTAGAGGATTTGTATAGAAGCTCGAAGGTGAAGTGTGGAGTGATGTGCAGGGAAGTTCCAAGGACCTGACCGCTTCAAGGATGTTAAAAGACCCTTTCTTGCAGGGAAGCTTGCTCAAGTGCAGCAGTAGTCCCGGCACATGCATACCATGTAAACTTGGCTCCCGGCCAGTCAGAAGGTATTCATGCAACGCAGCTGCAAAGCGCAACGCAACCTCATGCGCGCTGGGGGCAAGTTGTAAAAGGAAAGTGATGGGGGCGACGTCTTGGAGATGAAAATGAGAGTGAAAATATGAAAATGAAGATGAAGATGAGATGAGAGAAATGATGTATGGGGGATTGGAGAATCAAGGATAATCGCGATACTTACAGGATCTCCCGTCGGCTCTTCCTTGTAGAGAGCTCCCATACTTTTTGATTTTTTTCTCTCTTTCGCTCTTTCTTTTCTTTCTTCTTTTGATCATCAGCTTTGGCCCATGACGCTCCGAAACACTTTGAAATACCGAGGAGAATTTGGTTTGGTGGGTGAATGAGGTCTGAAAGATTTGTAACGCGTTTGGGGGAGAAGTTGGGTAACGATACACGGTAGACGGTAAGGTAGCTCGCTGTGTAAAGATGGTAAAACCCGGCTAATAATGACCGCAGGACTGCAGCGGTTGCCAAGGTTTTAGGGAGGATTAAATGGTGTGAAGCATACTCCTGCTGCTGCTGCTGTACATGAATAATGTTCGAGTCAGCATTCAATACTTTATCGTTTTTTGACCGTGTGGCAAGCTAGGATGACGAATCGAACGCGTCCATTCCGCAGCTTATGTAGTTGGCGTCATACAATTCGTGCCAAAATCCCACTTCCCAACCAGCGCAATTGTGCGCCTAATAATGCAAGAGCGGAGGAAAGTTACCTTTCTTTGTGATTACCGTAGCCCGTAGCTCGTAGTACGTATGAGTGAGAGTGAGAGTGAGAGTGAGAGAGAGCATAGAGGTTGGAAATAGATCAAGTAAGTAGAGTCAAAAGAAAGAAAGGAAAAAAAAAATCTCTCTGTGTCGCGCGCTGACCAATGTACCTTACACGGCCAGTCGAATGTCGGGCCTTGCCCAGAAATGGCTTGGGCGAGTATCTGACACACGTGAGGCTGGGACCGTTGGATAACCAGCAGAGCAGATTTCCACCTCGGCACAAGTGCAAAGGAAAAAAGGAGTCAATGTGATTCGTCGAGGCAGATTATCTTTTCTACCTATCTTGTTGTTTTTTACGGAAAAGTCCTGCAATATTAAAATAAAAGGAAAAAATAGGCAGGAATGATGATGGCGCGTTTCCAGATTTTTACGCTACGGTGGTAAAGTCTTGGGTGGTGTGTTATCTTAGTGGCTCAAATTACAGTTAGCCACAGGGGATCATGGACTTTGCACCTGTAGGGCATAGGTTGTGCACATTGTACTCTACGTCAGGACTCAACGACTCAGGACTCAGGACTCAGGACGTCGAATCTCTATCGAGCATCGAGAGATGAAGAGGGGCTGATGTTTCGAATCCTAATCAAGACGCTACCGAAGCATCGGTTGGGGAAGCTTCGGCTTCTGCAGCCTCTCCGATGATTGATAGGTGGAATGCTACTTTGACCGCTGCGACTTGGAGAAGGAGCACCCGATGGCTTGATGGGAGTTTAATTCTTCATTTCTTAAGGGGGGAAAACCCGCTGGCTGGGAGTCCTGGGACCAATGGCCTTCGCCTTCATTTGCACTAAAGGACACGCGCTTGGGCTTGCCCGCTAAGTCCGAAACGTGGCCTCGCGTGCATCATCTGGTAGTACGGTTGTACCTAGAGCAACGAACAATGAAACGTCTGCTGAATGATAATATTATGTTAAGATTAATGCTAATCAAAACACATGTTTGCGACCCGTCTTCTCCTGTTGCATGTCGGTTTGAGAGGTGCATATCGCCTGAATCACAGAGATACAAATAGAAGGTAAGGGGTAAAGGGGGCAGCGATAAATCAAGCTTCATCAAAGACCGTAGACAGAAAAAAGCATCAATCGAACAGAGTTTAAGTGGCCGTTGAATCAGCAGGGATCAGGGATTGTCACAAGGTCCACCTCGGTTAGCCATGCTCTGCAAGACGAATTGCCGAGACATTATTAGGTGTTATTACCAATATTTCGTCAAAAGCACGAGGGCAGAAGAAACTTGAGAGCGGGGTCGCAGCGTCAAGAGAAGGGTGTCGACGATAGGATCCAAATTGGAAGACTAAGCTACTTCCAAGTCCGTTTGCTTCCGAGCTGTTTGTGATGCTCAACCAGAGTTCACAGACGTTGATAGACCGGGGTGCTGATAATCCCAGCAAACCCGTTAGAGCGAGCTGTCAAGTGGGGGAATACTACGCCGGGGTTCGCTACTTCCGGGACCCGTCAAACGTCTCGTCTTCATCAACCTCTTACAGCTGTTGAGCCTCGATGACTTTGGGATTCTCAACCCGTGTTCACGGATGTCTCTGAATGGTGTGGAGGGAGCGTGTGATATGTTCGTCCGTCTCGGCTACCTAGTCCTTGCACTCGGTGGGCTTAGATGCGGATCAGCCTAGCAAGGCCTTTCTGCAAGGGAATCTGACTTTGACGGCACCACACGCGTATAGTTCCAATCTTCGATAATCTGGTGCTCGAGCCGCTGAACCAGCGAGGGTGTTTGCAGCTGTTCGCGTTCCTGTACGATCAGTGGACGCTGGTCCGCGGGCTCTCAAGACCAACTGCATTTGGTGCCCGCTCACGGTTGCTCTGCCTTATATGCTTCGTTGCCCACAGTCGCGCACGTCGTTGCTGAATGTTGGACTCGGGTAAAGGTTGGGGTAAAGGTTGGGCCCCTTGTCCGTGAGCTCCTGGCAAGCGCGGCTTCTTCTGGTATGGTTTTCTAGATCTAGATCGGAAGTCACAGCTGGACTAGCATTGGGTGGGGTGGAATTGGTGATTGGGCTCGTGTGAGATTGTAAGAGGTCGAAGAATTCGAATTCTGATGAGACTGTATGAAATTCACACCTTTAGCTGCTTTTTGCCAAGCGTCAGTAGATTACCAGTGCCAATGTCATCAGATGAGAGAAATGGCAATAAAGAGGGGAATAATCTGTATCGTCATAAAAGTCTTGCACAGTGGAAAAGCAAGCGGTGGAATCACCAATGATACGATTGATGATAGACTCTTCCAGCATTGCTACCTTGTACGCTGGTTGAAAAGAACGTGGTCGTGGTAACAGAGAAACCAAACTTACTGCGGACAAGCCATGGGATGATAAGAGATCTGCAGTGCTAGAGCACGTCAAGTGAGCATGGCCGTAGGTTCGCGGGAGGGATTGTCAAGGCTATGGAATGGGCAGGGATTCTTCAGAGTGAGACAATGGCATGGCATGAGAAGATTGGGACTATGCGCACGCATTAAAGGTATTTCTAGCTATGAACAAGTGCCATGTGAAGCGCCTTGAAGGTATCGAATTCTCAGGATCCAAATGAGCTTTTGGCGCCTATCCTTATTGAGAGATATTTAGCCGTCCCTAAAGGGCGTCCACAAGGAGTTTGAGAAGATTGATTGCATTAAAGTCGGCGAAGAAGGGGTATGTAAACGTAGTGATCACTTTGATATGTATACAGTGTGAAGACTGCGGTAGTAGTGGTGGTAGTAAGATAATTATTACCACGAGAGAACATGTACTTTATCTGATTACACTACCTACCGATGAAATGCAATCCCTGCGATGTTGCAGCTTCTAGAAAGGAAAGGTAGCCGTTCTTTGCCTGGAAGCTTAGATGTTTAAGGTAGATCATTAGATGCTTGAGGTATGTATGTACCTCAGATGTGCCCAATGCCCACGCCCCAAAATAAGGCTTTCCCTTCCTCCCGCTGAACCTGGTCGAGCGAAGGAAAAAAAGGAAAAGAAGGGAAAAAAGGAAAAAAGATGATTGAGTCTGGAGGTCTTAGCAAAACTTGCTTGCATCCTTCAAACTGGCTAAACATATGTGTAAGCATGTACTCATGTACTTAAATAGGGTCACCTGAGCTGGAAATAAGAGGGAAAGTCTCACAGGAAGAATATGCAGGATACGCAAGTTACCCAGTGAGTGACACATTCGATATTTATGCGCAGTCATACTTTGTTAGACGCATATGAAGATCCTCCTCTCGCATATGCCTCATGCTGCACTCTGCAATCTGCACTCTGCACTCTGCACTCCACCTGACCGGGCCTGCCGCTTTTCCATCCGAGTCAAACAAGTTCTTCTCTTCCATTATTTCCCGAATTCTGGGAGCTTGAGTTCCAAGCTTCAACACGAGTCAATAAATGCTTGAGCCTGCTGCTATGTCATTCGTGGCGGCAATAAGTGTCCCTATTGGCGATCCGTGCGATCTTCTTGACGTTTGCGCTACATGAGTAGAGTACATGAACTACGACTCATTTAGGGACACATCATCGTTCCTGGGATGGGAACGTACTCCGTCGCAGAGGCCCCCATTGTAATTATCGCGCCTGAGCGGGGCTTGCGAACCGTCGAGAACAGCTTCTTTCTCCTATCAGCCTGCAACCGACCTATCTCCAACTCCAGTTGTGTGCATTGACCTCCTCCGACCAGTCTACTGCAACAGCACTGACAAAATAGAGTAGCTACCCGAATACTCGTGTTGCACCACCACTGACGGTCTGTGCAGTTCCGAGCTTTCTCCTTCGTAAACCCTTCCACGCTCCGCCTCACGCTTAGTGCTGGACGATGTTTATGGATCTCAAAGACCAGTCTCAGAGGCTACGCAGTGATACACATCGTTACCGTTTGTAAAACCGGCCTGCCTATGGCTGTAATCAATCATCAGAGCAATTTTTCATAAGGGGAGCAACATCTAGCGACTTGGAAAAAGCTGTGGGAGAAGACTAATATGAGATTTCCCAAGATCTTGGCTCCTGGCTTCTATCGAACCTCCCTCTGCACAGAAGACAAGACATATACAAGCATTTTCTAGAAGTGGAGTACTATGTTTGCTGTCTGACTCTCGACTATTGAATCAATGTGTTTCAACCAGTGCTTCTTTGTACTGATGCAACGTGCTACTAATTAGCCAGGTTGAGAGGGCTCTGTGGCTATTCAGGAACAAGTTCCCTCATAATTTCCTCGTCAAGCTAGACCTTAAGATTCGGGGTTTCCCTGACCATACGATGGCAGTATGTTAATGCATCCATCTTCAAGCCGTAAGAGCCCACTGCCACCACATCCTCTTTGTATGCCATACGTCACTGTATTGCCTCCTGATTCTTCACGAGTCCAGCAGACTAACCTCTTCTTTCTTACTGGGGCTAGCATCCTTGGACCTCGGGGGCTTGTTCCATACACCCTTCCACACACCACGACTTCCACCTTTTCCATTGGACATCGTGCGAACAAGCGTCATCTTCTTAGTTTTATCTAGCAAAACGGCGTCTCCTGGATCACTGAAAAGGGCGGCAAAATTTTCCTCGTCCAATTGTTTGCCCCGGGCCTCAGCAGCTTCTCGTTCCACCATTGCGGCAAGGTTCTTGTCAGATTCGACATGACCACCTGCAGCGAAATCACGGTAAGATTGTGTGTCGTGAGGGATGTTGCGATAAGGTTGGCGATCTTCGAGCTGCGGCGGGCCGGAAAATTGAGAAGAATTGCGAAGCTTTTTTTTCTTTTCCGGAGTTCCGTTGAACACTGTGGCATAATTGGCGGCTCCTGCTTGCGGGTAATACGGACTAGTCTTTATATTAGAAGATCCAGTCGCACCCTCAGCGTAATCAAGGGGCGCTGCGTGCGTCTCCTTAGAGGATCCCGTCAATGCTACAGCACGGTCGACTGACTCGAACTTTTTGTCGCAGGCGCAGTCGGATCTGCAGGGGAGAGAGCAAAGATTGGTACAAGGATGACCACACTCGAGCCGCCTATTGCAGTGTTTCTTGCAACTCACGACGTCATGAGAAAAGCTGTGAACACGATTAGATCTAGATGTGGTCTGCTTGGGGCGTAACTCACAGATGACATCCCAACGCACACGTATGCCCGCATGACATCTCCTCTCGGCAGGCTCTTGAACATCCCGCCTCGAGACTATTGAAATCTTCTGGCTCTGTCGAAGTTTCAGCTGATGGAATTTGCCAAATGATGAGAAATATAAATCTCACCTTTGATAAAAGTCTTCTCATTATGCTTCTTGCATGTCAAATGCAGATAGAAGCCAACGCGACATGGGTCTTTCGCCATGGCTTGAATGATATGCCACCACAGCATGCTGGATCTGCAGAGGTTTGGCGCATCGCCGAAAATATAGAATCCGCGCCGAGCTCGAGAGAGAGCAACGCAGACACGGTTCTCGACCTCCAGAAAACCAATGTTGCCGCGAATGTTGCTTCTGACAAGCGAAAGGAGAACTACTTCGTTCTCTTCGCCCTGATACGAGTCTACCGTGACGACGGTGAATTTTGCCCCTTGCAGATGCCGGTGTTCACGCAGCTTTCTCATGATCAGTTTTCGCTGTCCGTTGTAGAAGGTCAGAACCGTGATTTCCCCCGGAGCCATGCCGTTGAGGACGAGGTAATAAAAAAATGTTACCAGCATTTCCGCCTCTGCTTGATTTATCTTAGACATCTGACTATCCGTAGTCTCTCGGCCTTCGTGTGTGAAGAAATAAGAATTTACGCCACCCATGCCAGGAATAGGTAATCGGTCGAGGACAGAAGGATGGTCTTCTAGCTTTTCATATATTGGCTTTAGCGCACGTCGTATTTCAGGTATCATACGACGCTGACGCTTCAGCTGGGAGAATTCGACTTTGTTTCGAGCCAGTCTCTCGAACATAGAGATACCCAGATCTAGATAATGATTTCAAAGTCAGCATTAACAGATAAAGCTTGCATCATGAACATTGAAATATGTCTATAGAAGAAAGACTTCCAAGACATTGCTCAAAGGCTCAAAGTTTGATTAATGAACAAGGAAATACAGAATCTGAGAACACTTACAATAAGGGTTGCCTGCGAGCTCTTGATCGTTACAATGACCCCTCAGCTGCCGATGGTCGCCGATCAGGATAAGATGCTCGAGGCTTTCGAAGCATGCAACTGACACGAAAGCCTCGAGTGTCTTCCGATTTCGGAGTCAGTATAACTCTTTCGGGAGGATTTCTGAGTCGCGAGACATGTCTCAGGAGCAGAGAACTCTTTCGACATGTCTGACGACTCACGGGGCAGCATGAATGGGGAAAGATTGCCTCGGAAAGTGTAACGTACCTCGGCAGCTTCTTCGATAAGAACAACTTTGGGGTCGAGACTCTGGATCAGACCGCGATACTTGCTTAAGCCAGTGGTGGTCATACCAATTACTTTGGCTTGTTTCAAGTAGTTGTAGTCGAGCTCCCAAAGGCCACTTTTCGCATCCTGTGATGCTGCTGCGTACTGGCGTGCCAGTTCCCGAAACTTCTTCGTGATTGCAGCTTTCAAACCCTGCTGCATGTGTCTATACACAGGTCCACGATGTTGCCTGGGGATATTCCACAGATCACGCTTCTGCATCTCAAATTGAACGGTCTCGTCTGTTACCCCGGTGCTCTGGCGGCCTGTGAAAGGTTCATTAAAAACCAAACGAAGTCCTCTCAAGGAGTCGCGGTCCTCATCATCAACGAGCTTGCTTTCGGCTTCAATTTCTTTGAGTTGTTCGTACTCAACGACTTCTTCGACTTCAATGCCGAAATCCTCCGGCATGGTACGGTAGTTGGCTTCTATACGTTCATCACCCAACCAGGTGGCGATATCTCCCAATGGGTCGTCTTCGGCCCCGGCCCTGATCCATTCTTTGGCACCCTTGACAAGTGAATAGTATTGATCGTATGAGATCACATTGTACTGCTCGAATGATCTTGAATTCAACAGTTCTCTCCCTTCTGTGAGAGGGGCCAATAGAATTGTCATTTCCTTTGCCAACTGCTTCAATCTTCTCAGAGCCGGGTTCCTCAATCCCCCTGTTGGATTGCTATGCTTAATGGCATCTTTGATCTCGAAAAGCGTCTGCGGCTTGATGACTTCAGTGTCCTTCGTCCAAGCACCCAGGCGAATGAAGCCGGGCTCAAATTTGGCTATATGTCGAAGCAATTGGTCCAAAGCATGGTTTGTATGAGCAGCGATGATGATGGGAGGATCTTCGGCACCCAAGTTCTCTAATAATAGGCGGAGAGCAATCACCGAGACGTGTGTTTTTCCTGTGCCGGGCGGACCTTGTACTATTGCAAGCCGCTTTGAAAGGATGCGTTTCAGTGCATCCATTTGAGATGGGTCCAAACCACTGGGCAACTTGGCAGGCCATTCCTCGAGAGTGTCCACATTGAGTACCTCATCAACTGCGGTTGGAAATAGGCTCGATAGGTTCTTTCGAGGCTGTTGCTCGAGATACCGAGGAGGACGGATGACACGTTGAATGTCAACGATATGCTCCGAGAGAGGGAAGCTGGACTGGTGTCAGCTTCTTGGCAAATTTTAAGACCAGCTTCTCATACGTTTCTCTTGACAGCATCTGTAGTCCACGAAGAGTATGGCTGATAGAGTCAGCGAGTCGTTTCGTTTAAAATCCACCCACCATCAGTGGATGACGTACCGGCTTCCTTCGTAGAAACCATTGCGAGACTCGACCATAACCCATTCCTGCTGAGGGTCGATCTCGAACTCATCTGGGCCTCCAAAGAAAATGTCAAGCTCTGGTGGGTTTTGCTCGAGTCCGGCTAGAGGTCTTGCTGCGACTATGGCCACACGGCAGACAGATGCAAACATATCTTTTGCCGGAGTCAGCGCCAGAACTGCACCTGTAAGCAATCGTTTCGACTGCTCCCAGTTCACTTTCTTCCCAATCCGTCTCAGAGAAAACGTGACACGGGCTGCAATCCCGGCATTGGCGAACGTCAGGCCAATGATGAAGACCTAGCCACAGTAAGCAGATGCCACAAGATGTACAATCAATTTGAAGTACCTTCTCGTAGATGTACGCACTATTGTCGGATTCTTTCTCCATGATGTGGGGGTATACTTGAATCTCAGAGACCACATCCCGCAGCGGCGCCACGGCATCCTCCCTGAGCAACCTATAGTGGGTTTCCAAATAATCTTCCTTCGAAATGTATGGCCCAACGACAGAGTTTTCGGTCAATTCAAGCGTCGTACCGTGCTCCGTACGGCCTTCATCGAACACCTCACTGGGAGATGGAATCTCACGGAAGCCGGTCCAATGGGACGGGTCAGCAGGCTGACCAGCAGTTTTTGCATACTCCCTGATACTCAAATTCAGGGTCGTGGAGGGTCTTGCAGTGAGAGCACGAGGCACTCGGGAGTCGCGAATTGCTTTCCCACGACCAAATCGTTCGTTCAAATTCTCGTTCATATCTGATGTTGATTCAAGATTAGCAGGCGTCTCGACCCACCGTGAGAGGAGAAGTAAGCTCTCGATGACAGAGAAGTGGCTCAATGAGAAGGTGATATGAAGGGTGAGAAGCAGAGAATAGGATGAAAGTAGAAAGCAGGGAGATGAAATAGGTGAAAGTTTGCGCAGCCGCTAATGTGGCAGCAAACTTGTACCATTCATTGGCAATTGATATCAGAGATGCTGATTTGTCTCGGGCTAACGACAAATGCTTGAAGGTTGACTGCATGCAGGAACCTTTGAACGCTGATAGAGTAAGGAGACAACGCTGATGGCACCTTAGAACGCTTCTGCTAGCTTAGTCCATGAAGTAGCTGGAATTTGGGATTACATATTGCATTATCATCATCATCATCATCATCATCATCATCATCCTACGGATTATTACTGTCTCATAATTGGGGCAGTGAATACTTGGGTGCAATCCTCCATCAGTAGCCAGACCGGACCTTCTCGCAAATGCTAGAAGTCTGAGTAGGACTGTTAAGGTAGTAGCAACCTCAGCTGATCGGACTGATCTTGTCCATGCAGTACGGCTGGCGGTATGTTTGACTGCTCATTTCTGCGCGAGGAGTTGAAGTTAGGAACGAGAGGAACGCGAAATGGCCCTCGAAGGCGCCAATGGCTAAACCTCGGAATCTTGCATTTCCGACAAAGCTGGAGCATGTCCCTCAAACTATCCTTCCTTCGTCTCGGTCTAAACCAAGCTCTCCAAGCAGTAGGCCGTCTTGATAGTGCTAGGGTATTGGGGAGGAACAGCAGATGTCCAGGAACCGAGATCTGGGTTTATATCCCTGCACGACGGAAACGAGAAGGGACTTGATTGGTTTGGGACTATGGAAATAAGAGTCGGTATATGTTGAGAAGCTGCTTCGACAGGCCAGACCCCTACCAATCTTGGCCGGAACCTGTTGAAGCAAGGATGGATTCTTTTGGTGCTGAGGATGATGACCGGGAAAGTGGAGGCTCTCCGGACGGAAGTTCGGACAATGATCAGGATGGGCCTATGGAAGATCGAGATGACGAAGATTTGGATGGCAATGGGGCGCCAGAGGCTGATGCGGACGGGGAAGGCGAGATTGAAGAGGAAAATGAGGACGAAGACGATGAGCAAGACCAGGATGATTCGCAGTATGCATTCGGAGATGGTCCTCATCAAGGGCATACGAAGCCTGTCGAGGCCTCCCAAGCCTCATCCACAAGCAATACATCAGAGTCTCTGCAGGGTCAAGCTGGCGTTGGCATTCCCACGTCTTCTGCACCCACATCCCACCCGAAGCCCTCCGTGCTACTTAGGTCTCCTTCGCCAACTCAGGATTCAGCCACATCCAATGGTCTAAGCATCGAGCTGCCCAAAGTTCGTCCAGAAGTATTGACTGCTTCCGTGTACGATATAGTCCCCACTATTGCAGCGCCACACAGCACATCAATCAACTCGATTACTGCGACTCCGGACCTGCGTTGGGTCTTTACTGGGGGTGCTGATGGGTATATAAGAAAGTTCAATTGGTTGGAAACTGCCAACGGCAAGTCTATGCTGACTGTAGCTCAGCGGCATCCTTTTGTTGACAGTGTGACGAAGGCTGGAGTCCTTATGAGTTATTGGGACAATACCGAAGAGCCTGCTGGTAATTATGTTATCACCCCGTGCGGATAATGCAATTTACATTAAATTGGCGGCAGGAAAATCATCCGAGGAAAGCTCCTCCATCTCATCAGTTTACTCTCTTGCTGTACAGCGTGAAGGTTTATGGCTCTTGTCTGGACTCGAATCTGGCGGCATTAATCTACAATCTGTCAGGCATGATGAAGGAAGGCAAATAGCGTGCCTCCGAGGACACACTTCCGCTGTATCTGTTCTGGACCTTGGTAAAGACGAAAAGTCTGTCCTCTCGGGAAGCTGGGATAGGAGCGTCATTGATTGGGATTTGAACACGGGCAAAATCGTCCGCAATTTTGAGGGCAGTGGCGGCCAGGTATCAGCATTAGAAACGAGGCCGTTGTCTAGCTTGCCTGTTCCAGAAGCTTCGGGAAACTTGGTGGAACTCAATGGCACCTTTTCTACAGACAGCGCTGACAAGCCGCGAATCAACGGCACTACTATTAATGGTACCGACCACGACACTCAGCACGGACTTACGGTCAATGGAGATGCAGGCTCACCTGCTGACTCACTCTTCGGTGGAAATGACGGTGATTCACTATTTGGAGACAACGACAACGAAGCACCGGGGGCTCCATCCGGGGGCAACTTTGTTGACGACGATGACGACGAATTCTCGCGTGCTATTGCAAATGGGATTCGAGACCAGGAGCATGACCAGGAGCAAGACAAAATGACGAGAGACTTGGAAGGCGATACCGATATGAAGGATGCCAGCCAGTCTTCTACTACTGCGCCGACCAATGGGAACCCACAAATGCTGACCTCGCCAGACACAGGGGTTGCAGCAGATGACACTGCTGACCTCGGAGTTTCTGGTCTATCTGAGACAGCAAGGAACGGATTGCCCCACTCAGGTGAGCTTTTTTCAAACGGTGAAAGCTGCGAAAACGCATCGGCCGATCTCCCAGAAGCTTCATCATCAAGTGATACGACTTTTCTTGCTGCTTCATTTGACGGAAGCCTTCGCGTATGGGATAAGCGCCAAAACACACCCATAGCGAAGGTTACTCCTCAAAACGTGCCTCCATGGTGCATGAATGCTTGCTGGTCTCCGGACGGCAACTTCATTTATGCTGGAAGGCGAAATGGCACGGTTGATGAGTATAGCTTACACAAGGGCCTGCAAAGTGCCGAGAGAAGCTTCAAGCTGCCCAACAACAGCGGTCCAGTCAGCGCTGTTCGAGCTATGCCAAACGGACGCCATCTAATTTGGTAAGTGTCCCACTACTTTTGATGAGCAAGACTAATCCGCGGCAGCGCTTCCTATGACATTCTACGACTGTACGACCTGCAGCAACAACAGATTTTCAAGCATGCCACGGTGCCTTTCCTTATCGTTCCCGGTCATCGCACTGGCGTTGTATCCCATCTTTATATGGACCCGACGTGTAGGTATTTAGTCTCAACAGCTGGGAATCGGGGTTGGGAAGGTACTTCTACGGAGGTATTGTTGGGTTATGAGATTGGTGTACCAAAGTAGAGATTGTGCTCAGAAGTTGACGAGAATCATATGAGCTTAGGTCATTGCGGAGTTGGGGAAACTGAATCATGTATCTTGCAAGATACCCAGGATTTTGTATCGCATATAAAGAGAAGTATGATCTGTTTCATTAAGAGACAAGCAGGATTTATCTTGGAGTCGTGTCACGAGCACAATTACTTAAATGCTATTGAAATTGCGCGTTCAGCGCCGAGGGGCAAATGCCGCTTCGTCAACACTCCATGATGACGGTTGCTCCTCCCTTGAATAAGCCTCTGGACTAACAGCTACCAGACCGGCAACAGACCAACATAACAGTCATTGCTCGTGGGTTGCTCTCCTTTGGATAGCTTGCAACAATTGGACGTGTAATCACTGCTGCTAGCATATCGCGGTCCAACAACCAGACAATGCCTCATCTTCGTGGTATCACAGTCCACGTCACTGACTCTCATGGCGAAAATCTTCAGGAGTGGGGGATTCAATATCTACGGCAGCATACCGAGGAAAAGAGGGTTTCTGCATACGTCGAGTCGAGAACGGATGTCTCATTTCAGATCTCATTGCAGCCAGATATCCCATTCGTTGGGCACCTTCCTCCATCAGAAACATCGGGAGGCGAGAAGATATTTATCACTACCCTTTCGTCTCCAACCCGACCATCTACAACACCCGAGAGTCACTCCGCACCGGATCCTGCGTTACTAGCTTCACTCTATCTTGATGGACGAAGGACACCAGAGCGTAAGATTATCGTCTACACCGATCCTGAAGATAAAGATTTCCATTCTCCCGATGGCAAAGTTAACTTCAAACACCGTTGGGTAAATTCGGCCGACGGAAGAATGGCCGAACATGCTTGGGTGTTCAAGGAAAAAGCCATCGAAACGGTCTTTGACAAATTAATGATCGCTGGGTCTCAAGCCAACGTAGAGGATCGGGATGACGATGCTCTGATCAAAGCTATGCAGTCCTCAGGGTTCGATGCCCAAGGAAAGACTGGGGAAGAGAGCAAAGTTGGTCAAATTGTGGTTGAGGTCCGGAGAGTGGTTCTGGGGAAAAAGCGAACAGAAGCGAATTACCGCTCGCACCATCAAGAAGGCCAGGACGAGGACGTCGATATGGAAGGAGTTCGGCGAGATATCACTCACGCAACGGGGTAAGTTTTGGACTACTTCCCTAGTTTACGTCCACTGTGCTGACATGCTCAACCTTAGATTCATACACAAAAACACTCTGAATTCTCAGCCTTTGCGAGTGATTGAGTACTGTGGGTCGTCCCTTTCTGCTTTGTACCAAACCTGAGTCGCAAGGCTCATTTCGAGAGCAAACATCTTCTTCTATTTCTAAGAATTGTTTCGTGAACCCAGAGTTCTTGCCTTGAAGACGCGACTCTGATTCGAAATTTTGCCTAGGGCCCTACAAGCCGAACGAAGGACTTTACGCCACCTTCCAGTTCTTCTATAGAAGTCGAGGTACGTGTTTTCGGAAAAAGCCCTTGCGGCACGAGGCTATCTACCATTAATTTGACTGATCTTTTATCAGAGCAGCTGCAACAGTTCCAGTTTCCGGGGTTTCCGTCCCTTCCAACGATAAGAACAGCTAGGACAGCAAGACTGCTGAATGCGCGGATGGCCAATTTGACCCCCCTGAGTATCTCCCTACCTCTGGACCAGACAACCAAGAAGATACAGCATAATCAAGACTCATATGAAGTAAAGGTCAAAAAGAGAGGATTCAAGCCAGATGACAGTCAAAAACATGACTTCGGTTCTGAGTATCGAGACATACGAGCAACGTCGCCGTCTACAGTAG